GAATCCTCTGAATCGACTCGATCCTCCCAATCGAATCGTATCCCCCGGACGTACCTCTTCCCGCGACCGTACCTCTCCTCTGTACCTCTTCCTCCGTACGGATCGAACGATCAAGAAGGACTTCACGAGATACCTGCAGTGACCGTCGAGAACAGAAACACAGCTGTATTTCTTACTTTCTCACCGGCCACTCTGGGTTTCTCCCGACGTCCTTGTTGGAACTGATCCCACTGATCCAACCAGCCCTATTCCTATACAGACTGATTGACTGATCAACACCTGCTACTGTTACCACCCCTCCATTGATATCTAACTCCTCCCCAAGAGGAACAACAAACAACAACAGAGTTCCTGTAAGGACTTGAGTTGGTTACAAGTTGGATACTGACTCAGCTTTTTCGCTGGAGTTACTGAGCATAGTTTCCTTCCTTGGACACCAGGCTTGGCTTCGTCAGCCTTCTCCCTGGGATATCCACCTCCTCTCCATAGGATCTCACCCCACAAGAACAAACTACAAAAGTTGCCCCTCTAGTGATTTTAGATTGTGCAACACTTCATTGACACCGCCACCTCTCTGCTACTGCACCTGCCTCTCCTACTGAGTGTGGTACTCCAAAGGATTGAGCCCCAGACAGAACTGCAGCGTGGTGTGGCATAGATATTAATACATAACTGACTCTCTCTCTCTCTCATTGATTGTTGAGTGACTCTTCAGCACACTTGTACTTTCGAGCTGAATTGAGTACCCTCTCCACATCTTGGCTTGACTCTCTGTTGCATTGATAGCATCGGTCACTACAACAGATTGAGTACCAGCCTTTGAGACAACACAGTGTCATACAGTAACACAGCACCATCAACCAACAACACCCCTTGATCCCCCCCCCCACTGCCTATACTGGCTATAGCGTGACTTCTCCAGTTTTCCCTGAAAGAATCCCTAACAGCCTTTGGCTCCATCTTCTCCTGCAGGTAGTGTATACCTGCACAGACTTGGCCACAGCCTTTGATCCAGTGGCAACAACAACCCAACAATTTGATATAAACCTTGATTATCAGTGCCTCAGTGCATTGCCCCTTGAATAACCCCTCTACATCATCATCTCGCCACTCACAAGCAACCTCCATTGCTTGCGTTGAAGCAACGACACTACAGTCAACACCAGGATACACAACTCTCCCACCAACCCACCTACCACCCACCATGACTTCCCCATGTCTACCACAACTTCACTCAAACCAAGGTCCTCCCAGACATTCCCCACTCCCACACTTCACCCAACCAACCACATCCACCATTCTCCGCAGACTACACAACACACCCCCCAGATGATCAGCCAAAGCTCCTAGAGCATGAGCCATCTTGAGGATCACCCTTCCGAATCACACCCTACCTATCAGGGAGGATGCCTTTGTTCTCACCCTTGAACACAGGCACGCTCTATCCTACAACACACCATCCACCATGCTACATCCCAACTACTAAAACAACACTCCAACACCAACAGGATCTCCCCTCCTGCCCTGGCACCAGCCACTCAGTGCCCCCTTATCCCCTTCTATTGACTCAACAACCCTCGAACAGCCCACAACACTCCAGCAGCCACTGTGCCTCCTCCTGGGAACCACACATGCCAGTGTGTCATTTGACCCATCTTCTGCCTGCTTGTTGCCCTATCTAACAATTTTTGTGATTGGATGGGTTACACCCTGCTCTGGTCAGCCTGAGGAGTACCACCTCCTACGGGCTCTTGGCATCTTGCCTTGCATGCCAAGGCTTGCCACAGCTTGGGACCTGATCACCCAGACACACTTACTGGCGAGCACTCTTTGGTCTGGCAATCTAACTGGTCCTCACGGTCCTTTGGTGATAATGGTTTCAATACCGACAAAAAATCCTGTGTAAGCCCTGTAACCCAGGTTTTGCGCTGCAGGTTCCCTATCAATGTGCTCACCCCCTACCCAGGGCATCTGTCTTACTTGGTGCTGGCTCCACGTTGGGCCAGTGGATGAGGTCATTTGATTGGGCAAACAAGTAGATGACGACTCAGCTAGGTGGGGCTTCCCCACCACTTGCCCGCGTCATAAAAGCCACTCCGTGGCCATAGTTTGCTAAACTAATGAGTATTTTACACCCCTACACCTCGTCAGACGATCCGCTGAACGGTGCCGTGACGAACCCATATACCTCAGGCACAAGTGCGCCACTTAGGATGGGCCTAGTGTAAGCCCCCCACCGGAGAAATTAACAAAACTCCGGAGGGTGCTGTACGACTAACTAGCTACCCTTGGCTGGATTGCCATCTATTTCTACGGTAAGACCCCCTCTGTGCATATTACCCTGTGTCATTGTTTTGCATTGTGCGTGCATGCCGTCCCTGAGTGCCTGTCGACGACGGGCAGCAATTGGCAAGCCACGCTTGATGTCGCCTGGGCCCTTTGCCATTTGCTCGTCAAGCGGTCGCTTGAAGATAAAATCCACCAGATCCGCTGGGAGCAGATCCGCTTTCTCGTAGATGAGTTCCACCTCCCGCTGAAGCTGTTCGTGCTTCTTCTTCCACTGGTCTTCCCTGTCTTTGCCATGCCTGGCAGCATTTCGATCCTCCCACAGGTTCCACCACTGCTTGATGCAGTGAGGCTAGGTTGGTGACCCAGAGCTGCCCTGTCTTGGTGGTTCCTGGGAGCCGACCCGATGCAGATATGCATCTTGATGCTTAGCCCAGTGCATGGACAAACGTCCTCTCAGGAAGTTGTCCCAACCAATGAGATTTGAGTGTCAACGAGGTCCCTATACCTGTCAGGGTAATGCCATGGGTGGAGAATCGATCTTCAAAGTGGTATTGTAGTCCATCCAGAGCAATTTCCAGAGGAAGGGGTCGGTGGAATCCTTGCGCAACTTTGTGCTGATCGCTCGTTGCATGGTCCCTCGCCACAAATCCACGTCAACATGTGGGCATCGGTAAATGGGTTTCAGTCTCGTGATCACCGCCACAACGGGGCAGTGGTGATCATACTTGGGGTCATCCCGGATCGTTTCCCAACTGGCAACAATGAAATAGGAACTTCACAATGTCGGTTTGTGGATCTCGTGAGGTTGACAGCTCGACCATGGGCTGTCCAATGCCAATCAACCAGTGCAGGGGTGTCCTCGTCCCAGTCGGGATTCAGTTTGACAATGTGGTCGAACAGGGGCTGGTCGTTCCTGAGATGCCGCAGTGTTCTGGGGAGCTTGTATGTGCATGTTCCTCTGGGAAGGTGCAGCTGGGCCAGGTTTGCCGGAAATCGGAGTACCTTGGAGTGATCCTGTGTCACGTGTCTGGTCATGTAACTGCCTGCCAGTTTGTCAGCTCTGCAATTCAGTTGTGCTTTTAGGGGTAGTGTTTCGATGGCCTTGTGCTTGTCCTGGTGCGATTTGATGTGCTCCATCTTGGGCACAGTGACTGCAGCCCGGAACGAATCCTCGATCTGCTGCAAGACATCCCAGTCGGAGTTCAACGAATCATTGGGGTACCAGCCCTCGTACTCGAGACAGCTAGCGCACTTGTTTGTCACAGATTCATTGTCGCATAAGTGTACATAATTCTTCATGCTGGTCTGATCGTAGAACTCCAGCAATCGTCGAAGAAGGCAAGTAGGGGATAGAATGCCATAGGCCTCCGCCCTGTATGAAGTCGGAACCATACCAAAAACTGGACCAGAGCACCGAAGCACAATTTGGCCGCGGTTGTCTGCCAGGACCCATGCAAAACTCGCCTTACCGGCTTCAATGTCTGCAGCCCCATCGCTGGCCACCCAGAAGGGCATGGCTGTGACAATCTGCAGGACTGAGTAGGCGTCCACCATCCATTCAAGCTCGTCATAAAGAGCTGTTTCCCAAGGCTCCAAAGTGGCAAGGAAATCCTCAAATGTTGTCGGTGTGGGTGGTAGTGGACGAGCAGGAATGCCTGCTGTGAAACCACTACCAACTACCACTGTCTCAGAGTTCCAAGTAACTGGCATGCTGAAAGATAATGGTTCCACAAATGAGAGATCCGAGTGTGGAGTTGACAGCATCCGTGCCATTCAAATTCAAATTCAAATTCAAATAGTTTCCCTCGGTTTTTGACAGAAGCAACTCAACCAATCCCAATCGACACTTTTCCCTCTTGTCATAGTTTCATCAAGTCGACAACAGCCAATTGCACATCACCGTGAACCCCGGTCAAATCAGCCTTTTAAGCCGCTGACTGACAATGATTCGAAGAAGATCAAAAAAGCCATCCAACAAAGCATCGAATACGGAGAAACGGAAGACGCCAAGATGGTCGTGGCATTCGTCAGCAATGTGGAGTTTCCTAAAGCCGTCTTCTTGGAGATTGTTGATTTCATCAAAGAGCATGAACGTGTAACGCGGGTGGTGGAAGCCACATCGGACTTGATCATTTTCATGACAAGATCCAAGCACATTGTCACAGTCCGTTTCGATGGTGCAAAGAAGCCTGCCGAAGCCTCTAGTGTTCCCTCGGCCTCGGAGACCAGTGCAAGCTCTTCGGCTCATTCCATTGCGAGGCAAAATGAAGCGGACACTCATCGTTCCCATGACGATCGTCGTCAGCGCCGCAACAAGAGTCGCCGCGCTCCTCCTCCCCCAAGCTCCCCTGATTCATTCGAGCTTGAAGCTGAGTTGTCACAGCTCATGGCACCCATCAAGATGACCCCTAGTAGAAAGAAGAAGTACTAAGTGCGGCAGCGGCCGCTTGTCGATCTCATCTTGCCTTGACTTCTTTTCTTGTGGAGGAACTGATCGAACAACCTCCTTTGTGGTGGCAGCCGCGAGCCAGGCTAGTTAAAATTATATTAGTATACAAACTATTAAAGTCAATTAATTTAGCGTAATGTCAAAACTTGTTTTGTCCTCCGGCGTCTGAACGATGCATTCTAGTGGCGTTACTTAAATCTTTGAATATCCTAGACGACCTACTGACCCCTATGTAATTTTCCGGCTAGCCAGAAAGGTAAGCACCGTAAAGGCTTAACTAGCTACCGGAGCTAAGAGAAGAGTTTAGCGCCGTTAGTAAGAAAAAAATTTGGATTTCTTTGTCGATACCTGGTACCACTGGGATATGTAATGTATTCTTCTTGAAGTGGACAAGCCACAGGACTTCAGCCCTGCGACGAGCAGCCGACGAAGGTAGTGCCAGCCCATCGCTGAAGTACAGAGCCATTGCTGATATATGGATTGAATATGGATCTACACTCTATTCTGAACGACTCAGACTCTGACGATGAGCAGTACTTGCGAGGGGATCCCATCGAAGGATTGGGACAGTATTCGGACGGCTCTGGCCATGTAGACCTGGAACAAATACTTCGCGATGACGACGACGATGAGGACGACGATATTGCTGGTTGCGAGGACATGAACAGCAGTAAAATTATCGGCAGAAACCCAATGAAGATTGATTGTGCCAGTGACGACCAAGATACAGCTAGTCAGCATTTTTCCACGGGCCATTCGGCCGAGGATTGGGCTGTCTTGCAGGCACTACTTGGAGAGGACCATGAGGAAACCGAAGTTGGCGATGACGATTGGATGCATGCCTCGGATGGTTTTGCGAGCCGCAAACACAATGTTGATGCCATTTTGCTCTCTGATAACGACGACGACTCGGACAATGTTAGCGCCACACATCTTGGACCAATGACTTCCCTGTCCGTTGGACTGCCTCCAGAGCCTCCAACCAATGTGTCACCCACATCCCATATTGGATCAACTGTCGGGGGCCAGCGAACGACTGATTACCGGAACGGGAGTGACTCATCATCCGCCGTGAACCTTCCAGTTGCCAAAAAGGAAACTCCCATTTCTTTGCCCTCTACCAGAAAGCAAAAAAATGTATCAGAACCACCTGCAGTATCTGCGACAATATGGTCCGGACCTTCCTCATTGTCTAAACCCGGTGCATCTGTCAGGGAAGTAGAGACGAAGGTAATTTCCGATCGAGCATTAGAGCATGCACAGGCGTACGAGCGAAAGCTGCTGAGATCAGGCCACAGAGACATTGTATCTCCGCTGATGGTCAAGAGACGGCTGAAACAAAAGATAATCATGAGTACCAGGGCCCACCGAAAGAGCAATTATCAATCAGGTCGGGTAGGTACCACGTCCGCCGAGCCAAGGTTTGGATTTTCGGGAGTTCTAGAGAATCGAACCATGAATGGCGTGGCGAAAGGATTCAGACAAGACAATCTACGCAAGAAGGGAATCAAGATGGATGTTGGTTTGCCAACTGCTCTGGCAGTAAACTCGAAATTCATCGCACTGGGGACACAGAATGGCATCGTACTGGTCTTTGACCTGTTTGAAGTGCTCAAGCAAGTTCTGAATCCCGCACATAGTGACGACACCTGGAATAGCAAACAAGCTGGGTCAATTACATCCATCGATCTCAATATGAACGACGAAGTCTTGGTGGCAGGGTACACGTCAGGATTCATAGTACTGTGGGATACCATACGAGGGGTAGTTCTACGAACCGTCTGTGATACCCATCCATCGCCAATCACGAGCGTTCGCTTCCTTTCCGACTTGAAGATGCTGTCAGTCGACGCTGGTGGCCTAGTCAACAAATTGACATTCACGAAAACAATGTTATGGTCTACATACTCCATGGAGACCGAGTGTCTGCTGGACGGCACGGCAGGACAGATACTCGCCATGAATGTACAACCCCCTGTCTCAACGGTTAATCCTCAGGTTCTCCCTGAATCGGCAGCTCAGCTTCGCAAACTGGTACTGGTCGCCCTGTCTTCCGAAAGGAGTTCATTTGCAGTGGCTGTCGAGCCAACAGTAAACGTCCTGCATCGATGGGCAAAGCCTCCGGCTGACAGAATGAACACGCCACCGGGAAACTCTGTTCACGAGCTTGTAAGCGAACAAACCTTCCTCCCTTGCCTTGCTTGGGGGTGGGCGTTCACTTCTGGGGGTGGTAATGTTGTCGCCCCTATTCTTGCTCGTGCTTGGGGCTGCTGCGTACAGTTGCTGCTAGCAAGTCTTCCCAGCAGTGACGAGGAAGCTTCACAGTCTGTAAATGGCAGTCCAGAGGCTGTCCAATATCCCTCGTTCGGACTGATCGGAGAGTTTGACATTGACGATCCAGTTGTTGCACTGGAGTGGCTCAATGACAGATCTCTGGCCTACTTGACAGTTACAAGCGAATTCTGCGTGGTTGACACGGTGACGATGACGCTAATCGATCGCCTGGACTTCTCACCATTGAGAATGGTGTACGCTGAATTCTCGCTGAGTCGCAGCATGAGCATGGAACCTGGAGACCATGGAGCGGAACCAAATGCAACCTTTTGTTCCACATTCCAAAACAGCATCCGATCTAGTGATCACAGACTTTTGGTCCTGTGCCAAGACGAGGTGAAACTGGTTTCGATGGTTGGCGCCAAGAAAAGGATTGCCGCTTTAGAAGAAGACGGCGAATGGCTGGAAGCTCTGGCTGCAGCATTGGATCATTATGAAAGCACAGTCAGTAGCTTGGAAGATCGCAAGAGAAGCGCTGGCGGAAGAAAGGATCTGTCGAAACACCCCGAATTCATTTCTGCCACAAAGAACGAAGCGGACGAGTGGATATCACGTTTGTTGCTGCGGTACCTCAACCTGGCTGTGGACAATGCTCCCGAATCACCGTTGGACGAGCACGGTTTGATAGCCTTGGATGGGACCCATGCAATTGTTGACCTTGCGCAAAGCCATTTTCAAATGCTCGCGGGTGTTTGCGTCGAGTTCTGCCTGGTCACTCGACGCCTCGATCTCCTCTTTGGACAAATCTTCCGTCGATTTCAAGCTGTCGGCTTTACATCAGTCTTCTTGGATGTGCTTGAGCCGTATGTTCTGAACGATAAGCTTTCATACATCGCACCCGAGGCTATGGCATATTTTGTCGACCACTGCAAAGCAACAAACGGAATCGCAACTGTAGAAAGGTGTCTACTTCACATGGATGTAAGGATCATGGATTTCCACTCTATCCTCGCCTTGCTGAAGAACAATCAAATGTACTCCGCACTTTTTTACGTGATGAACCAAGGCCTGGATGACTATGTGACACCTTTGGAGTTTCTTCTGGACAAGATCTTTGATGCCTCGGACGACTACAACACCATACCAGTTGTCGCAGCGCCAAGACGCAGCGATGGGGCCCCAGAGACTGAATTTGAAAGACTTGGTTACAAGGCAATCCTCTACATCCAGAGCTGCTTCAGAGGGAAGGCATTTCCAAAAGAATCCGACATTTCTCCGCCGGATCGTTTGCCGTCTCTTCGTTCTGAAGTTATTGGTCTTTTTCTCAGAGAAGAGTACACTCCGTCAGCGCTTGAACGAGACAAACAAGTGATTGGTAAACGAGCTTTGCAATATCCATACACGCGAATTCTCCTAGATGTTGATGCGAGAGCATTGCTGGATTCAATTGCCATGGCACTGGATGCTCCTGATGAAATTCTGTCGTCGTCGGACTCAAGCATGGGTTCTATGGGTGCTTCCAAGGCCATTCAGAAGGTGGCCGCAATGTTGTCATGCATACTCCTTCCAGATTCCAAGAATGCTGGGCCTCCCCCGGCCAAGGCGGCCGTGAATGCTTACCTCGACTTTCTGGCCAGCTATCTCATGAAGGGCCTGATTTCAGTTGAGAAGTCAACCACGTTCAAAATCTTGAGCAGAATGGCTGAGCGTTTCTCGTTGGCCAAGGGAACGAATCGACTGAAAGACCAACGCAAGATCCTTGATTTGCTCACTGCTCTGCCTAGGAAGAGCTATGACTCGGCAGAAGTCCTGCGACTTGTGGACAAGACTGGCATCAACAGAGCTGCTCTTCTATTGCACCAAGAAGAGGCCCTTTGGGAGGGCGGTCAAACTGATCCCTCCAAGCGATCTTGTCATTTCAGCAAAGCCATCGACTGTTACCTGAGAGATGATGATGTTCTTTTCCGCAGAGAAGTTTTTGAGTACGTGAAAAAGGAATGTGCTGGCACTGCAGAGCCTCCATTTCGAGTTGCTTCAGACGGTTTTCCATCGAATAGCATCAGAGAGTCACTTTTCTCCAGAATACCTGATCTGGTGCAGCTGGATCCGTTGATGACAGCTGAACTTGTGGCCGAACTGTTTGTTGAGGAGTTGCAACGTGTGGTGGAGTTGATGGACAATTTTGAGAACAGGGAGGCACAGTTTACTTTCTTTCAAGCGATAATCGGAGGTGATCTTCATGACATCAACCCTGTTGCTGGTTCTGTTCTCAACGCCCACCTTGCCATGGAGCATCACCACAAGTACCTCTCTCTGATGGCTCAACTGCATCCAGATCTTGTGTATGGATATTTGTCAACTCACGATAACTACCGTGCTGAGGAATGTTTGACGCTTTGTCAGGAACAAAAAATTGCCGATGCCAGTGCGTATCTCTTGGAGCGCATGGGTCATGTTGCAAGTGCATTGCAACTGATCTTGCAGACATTGGAGAGCCGCATGATGAGCTTAAAGCGGACGATCCGTGGAATGGGTCTTGATGAGCGACAATGGAACAAGCATTACTTGCGGGGCAGACGTAGCATGAACAAATCTGTATTGGCTACATTAGGTGGGAAACAAGAAAAGGAGGTGCAGGCAGTGAAGCGTCTACTTGTTGTGGCGCTTGACATGTGCGAACGCAATTCTCGGACACAGTCATCTGCCAGCGACCATGGATCTCAACTGTGGTTCAACGTGCTGGACCGACTGATCAATGCCAAGGGCTTTCTGAGGCTTTCCAAGGAAAAGGAGGCTCATGCGTTGGTCATGTCAAGTGTTTTGGGTGAGCTTTTGAGGATGGCCATGCAGAGGATGGTTAGCAGTGTACCTTTAACTGACCTGGTGAGAAAGGTCACTTCGGACCATTCTGGAAGCCGTCTTGGTGAACTTCGAGAAATGATGGAGAGTCTGTTGAGTACCTATGGATTTGAGTTGAAGGTCTTTAGCAGTGCTGTGAAGGTATACCACTTTGATGTCAAGAGCATGCACAGTGACCAACGGAGTCTGAAACTTGAGGGCACTGGTGTATCCAAGACAATGGAGGTGCCTTCTGAAGCTGCTGAGGATGGAGAACCAGAGAATGTGACAGCTGCTGTTCTGGAGAAGACGAGCCAGAGTGGGTGTCCGGTACTGGTGAGTCGTGGAGGAGATTTATCCTTTGCAGACAATGAAAACATGTTGGATTCTCGAAAAAAAGATGGAGGATTGGCTGATGCAATGTCTCGACTTCGGTCACGACGAGGAACAGGTACTTTGGGAAAGCGCAATCCCCGTGGCAGGGGGGCTGGTATTGGCTTTGCACCGGATGATGATCAGACCAGGGACCCGGAAGATGCACATGGGCCACTTGTAGGTCAGCTGGGAGAGGCAGAACATCGTGGAAGGCTCATGTCTTTCATGTAGAGTTTGCCTTACAGGGCAGCTAATTGACATGATGTAGCTTGTGATTGGTTGCTCTCATCTACTATGATAATGCTCAAGCTATTAGAGGATATCAAGTACAGTACCCTAGGCCTCCTACTTTTTGCATACCAGTACTGAACTAGCTCGCTAGCAATGGTGTCTGTCTTCCAGAGGATGACTGTCGACGATGGGCTTGTCTTAGCCCAGCTTTTCTAAGCCACGCTAAGCTTGTCTAAGCTAAGCTAGTCCACAGATACAATTACTGCAAAAATTGAGTACTTTTTGTCCCTGTAGCTTAGCTTAGCTAGAGATAAACATAGCTTGGCTTAGACAAGACAAGCGTAGATTAGTAGATTGGCATATGCAAGCTTCTAAAGATACCAGGAGATATCTAGATGTACTCCTTGGTGAGCAAAATTTCAGATACTCACATTGGTGAATTGGAGAACTCCAAGCGTTCCAAGGTCGGCAAGACAATCGTGCGCAGCATCCTCGTTCACGATGAGGGAGATGTACTCCATTGGCCATGTTTCTTGGTTGTCGAGGGAGAATTATAGGGCGAATGAGAGTTTTTTGACCCACTGGTAGCCCTGCGATGGCTACAAAGTCTCTATACCTGCGGGCTGTGCATTCACTTGCACCAGAGTTCCCACCCTAGTAATTCCCTGTCACCCTTGGCAGCTAGTAGAGATAGCTACCGGTAGCGATGATAGTTAGATAGCAGTCTGTAGAAGTAGACTACCGGTACCGGTATCTACCCTCCAACCATAGCCACTGGTACAATAGTAGCGGTGGTACCGGTGTTTTAAAATAGCGCTTCATTGGTTTTCTGTCCTTCGCTGACGAGGTTTGCGTGGATGTTTCATTGATCGCCCGACGTTTGACCGGCCTCCGCGACCAATGCTCGCTGGATCGGTAGTTTCTCAACGCTCGGCTCTCGCTCGGCGCAAGAACGACCCAAACAACAATTATTTATTTATTTATTTACATCAACAACAGCAACACCTTCAAAAAAAGACCTGTCGCCCTTTTCAAAAGAGTCGAGTCAAGGTCAAAAGTATTAGACTAGAGTCGCCCTTTTATTTCAAAAAGAGTCAAGCCGTCGATCGAAAAAACATTCGACAATGGCGAAATGGTTTCGTAGTGAACCAATGGAGTATATCTCCCTCATCGTGAACGAGGATGCTGCGCACGATTGTCTTGCCGACCTTGGAAAGCTTGGAGTTCTCCAATTCACAGATGTGAGTATCTGAAATTTTTTGCTCACCATGGGCAAGTCAAATCCATATCTCTTGTCTCTTCTATTGGCCGTCTCACATTCATCTCTTTGTGTTCTTGCAGTTGAATCCGGATTTGACTCCTTTCCAGCGTCGCTACGTTTCCTATGTGAAGCGTTGTGATGAGTTGGAACGTAAGCTTCGCTTCTTCTCAAATGAAATCGAAAAGTTCGAGCTGGACATGCAGCCAGCTGGAAGTATTGACGCCTTTTTGAGAGTCTCTTCTGCTATGCCTGGCAATGGCGGAGCCAAGCAAAGTGGAGCTCAGCTTCTGGAGACTTTGGAGGTCGAGTTGGAGAGCTATGAATCTCAGTTACGTGAACTCAACTCTTACAGTGAAAAACTCACCACCGAATACAATGAGAAAGTTGAGCTCCAGGAGGTTTTGGAGAAGGCTCGTCGCTTCTTCATGACAGATGCTCCTCGCCTTGCTGTTTCGGAGCTTACTACCGGTGGAGGTCGCGAAACTGGTCCAGTAGGAAATCAATCCAATTTGCTGGATTCGGAAGGCGGTGCTCGCCCCAGCCTGGATATGCGTTTCTCTTCCATCACTGGAGTGGTTGCTGCGGAGGAGAAACATCGGTTTGAGAGAATGATCTTTCGTGCCACCAGAGGAAACTGCTATGTCAGGTTTGCACCCATCAAGCAGCCTATTACTGACCCCGAAACTGGTGTGCTTTTGGAGAAGTCCGTTTTCATTATCTTCTACAAGAGTGAAAGTATTGAAGCCAAGCTCAAGAAAATCTGCGATGCATTTGCCGCTCATCGCTATTCCCTTCCAGACATGGATGATGCTCCTTCGGTTGACCGAATGCTAACTGAAAATGCTCAGGAGCTTGTTGGTGAGTCGACTCTACGTGTACTACGTGTCGTCTCTACTGTGTCTACATTAATCAATTCGTCTGACTTTTAATATTCTCCCTTGTAAGACTCTCGCACTGTCCTTTTGAAGAACCAGGACACTCGCTACCGTCTTTGCCAGATGTTGGCAAAGCACACTGAACGTTGGACATGGATTGTCCTCCGCGAAAAGGCTGTCTATCACACTCTCAACATGTTCAAGGCCGATGTTTCCGGAATGCTTCGTGGTGAGGGCTGGGTAGTTGCTGAGTCTGTTGATTCAGTACGAGAAAGTGTGAACAAAGCCCATGCCAACATGGATATGGCAATGCCAAGTCTTGTTGACCACGTGCCTAAGCCCTGGCCGACACCTCCTACTCACTTTGTCACTAACAAGTTCACGTATGGCTATCAGGTAAGACCTGGAAACTGCTTGCAACGCTCATCACGATTCCATCATGCCGCTCACATGTTGCCTTTTCCTTTAACTCCCAGGAATTTGTCAACACCTACGGTATTCCTCGGTACCAAGAAGCCAACCCAGCTCTCTTTACTGCTGCCACCTTCCCATTCTTGTTCGGAGTCATGTACGGCGATGTTGGTCACGGTTCTTTCCTTCTCTGTGCTGGCCTTTACTTGATCTGGAACGAAAAGGCCAATGACAATGCTCGTCTCGGTGAAATGCTCGAGGGACTCCACTCTGGGCGCTACATGATTGCCATGATGGGTTTCTTTGCTGTCTATGCTGGTTTGATCTACAACGATTGCTTCTCTCTTGGCCTGAATCTGTTTGGATCCCGTTGGGCCTTCAGTGGGCAAGAGTATGGCTTTGTGGAAGAGGGTGATGTGGCCACTCCCATTGCCGAATATGGTTCGGACGAGTCTGTCTACCCTTTTGGATTGGACCCCATCTGGCACGTCTCTGCGAATGAACTGCTCTTCTTCAACTCTTTCAAGATGAAATTGAGTGTGATTTTTGGTATCATTCAGATGTTTTCCGGTACATGCTTGAAGGGAGCCAACGCCGTATTTTTTGGAAACACTCTTGACCTCTTGTACGAGTTCATTCCCATGGTCGTGTTTGCTGCGTCTCTCTTTGTGTACATGGTATTCCGTAAGTTGGAGTGGCGGCTTTCTGTATCGGAGCTGTTGTGTTGTGTACCGTGATGCTTATTTCCTTTTTTGCTTTGTGTTTCAGTCATTTTCTTCAAGTGGTCAGTTGACTGGAACTCCCGAATGCTTTCGGCGACTTGTCTTGACCCTGAAGGCGACAGTTGGGGAAGCTCCGCTTACAATGGAGAGTGGCAGGTTTGTGACGGTTCTGGTGACGGAACTTGCACTCCTTGGGGACTTTCTTGCACTGGCGCCGAAGACACAGCTGACAAGTGCCCATTGGACTTCGGAGGCTCTGGTGATGGTTGTCAGCCACCCAATCTCATCACGACTCTCATTAACATTGCGTTGCAGCCAGGAAGCGTCGATGAGCCCATGTATTCTGGACAAGCCGGAATTCAAAACGTCTGCCTTCTCCTGGCGTTTGGTTCCGTGCCTGTGCTTCTCTTGGTCAAGCCATACCTCCTTTCCCAACAGAGCCACACTCCCGTGACTCATGCCGCCGACGAAGAGGACCACGGAGACGGCGGCGATCACGATGGCGATCACGACGGTTTTGGAGAAATCGTGATTCACCAGGCCATTGAGACCATTGAGTTTGTCTTGGGAATGGTTTCCAACACTGCTTCGTACCTGCGTCTTTGGGCCCTTTCCCTTGCTCACTCGGAGCTTGCCACTGTGTTCTGGGAGAAGGCGATGCTGTCCACATTGAACATGAACTGGTTTGCCGCCTATATTGGTTTTGGTGTTTTTGCGGGTGTCACTTTGGGTGTCCTTCTCATGATGGACGTTCTTGAGTGTTTCCTCCATGCTCTTCGTCTTCATTGGGTCGAGTTCCAGAACAAGTTTTTCTGTGCCGACGGTATTCGCTTCTCTCCTTACTCCTTCAAACAGTTGATCAAGGATGCTTCCGGTTAGATAAAGTCCTACTTAGCAATTACAGTCTTATTAAGCGAATTCTGTTTGGTTACAACTGTAGAAAGGTGTCTACCAAGGCCCGGGCGACTAACTAGTACAAAAGACTACCAGTGGTGGGAACCAGTATGCATAGAGTCGAGTCAGTATATTGAGACAACTGCTTCTTTGCTTGTGATTGAGGGAGACAAGGGTGGCTACTACTGGTACCGGTACTAGTACCGGTATGTTTAAAGTAGCTTACAAATTGTGCGAACCGGTGGCTGTCCCTCAAGCTCGGTGGCAATACTGGAACTAGACTATTATCTGCATGGAAGAGTATGCTGGCTGCTTGCCTCTCTATCTAGTGATTGAATCGAGATGTGGTTGTCCGAGTTGCAAAGGCCAACTGCATGTTTTGATCCATTCCAGAACGAACCCTAATACCTGTAGCTGAGCTAGCAAAATGATACCATACTCGAGTGGGTGACTGTCCCTCAATCTCGGCGGCAATACTGCAACTATATCTGCATGGAAAAGTATGCTGGCTGCTTGCCCCTATAGTAGTGAGTTGAATGTGGTCGTCCGAGTTGAAAAGGCCAACTGCATGGTTTGATCGCTACCAGCATGCATGGAGTCGAGTCAGGATATCGAGACAACTCTCTGCTTCCCTCGCGGTTGCGGGAGACAAGCGTGACTGTGCGTTAGAGTTCCAAAAGTATTACAGGTAGTCAATAGCTTGTCAGGATGGCCTGTCTCCTTAGCTAGCTAGCATATTATTAACTATCGTACGCCACGGTAGAAGGGAGTTGATGAAGGTGTTGGCAAGAGAAGCATTCTCATTTCTTCCGTTCTCGTGGAAGTGCAATCCTGGTGGTTGGATGCTAACTCTTCAGCGGGGCGGCAGCTGATATTACACTGATAGTGCCAGATGCAGCAGCGGGGCTAGCACACTTCCCTTAGCGCGATCAGTACCGATAGTGGTACCGTTGCTGGTACGGGCGCTGCAGTTGCACCGTACTCTCGAACAGAGAAATAACAAGGGTGGGGGGGGGGGCATCAAAGCAAGGGTTGCAGTGTACCGTTAAATGTAGGTACTGGTTCCTGCCAAAGCTCTTTGCGATTCTCTGTGATAATGGAGCAAAGATTACTAGCACTCGTTCATGGCGTAATTTCCCCCGACAGCTCGTGCAGACATGCACTCCACCGATCACACGAGGTGCAGTCTTCTTGCTCTAACTTCGAGAAGCGCTGATTGCATCTCTGGCCTTTCAACCAACAGCTCAATAGCCTGATCCAAATCAACTGCTTTTCGCAATCGTCCTTTTTCTGGCCAAGTGGACATCACCTCTTTTATGTAAAGAGGGAATAGTTTTGCACAGACGTGACTGTAGATTTTGGGTGCTTCCCTGGGCCCAGTACTGCCTGGCCCCGTGTCTTTGCTCTTATCCTTTCCTGCATCAACAGCGTCGTTTCGCTTGTCCAGAGAGAGCTCCGCAGATTTTTGTGTCTGGACACTTGCGTCTCCCTTATCACCATGATCTGACACTCGATTGACTTGTTCATCCTCACTCGCGGACGAGCTTTCCAACCGCCGCTTCTTTGATTTTCTAGTTTCATACTTAATCTCTGCAAGCTTCGGTCCCAGTACACCCATAACTCCTGCTTCTTCGAATGTTTCACGAATAGCTGACTCCTCCAACTCCTCGTCCTTTTCCCATCCACCCTTGGGTAATATCCATTCCTTCTTTTTGCTGGCACTGACCAGCATGATTTTTCCTCCCTTGAGAATCGGAACACAGCCAGTAACGAGCCGTACAACTTCGGATGAATCGGATTCAATAATCCATCTCTGGTTGGACCTTCCATGCCTTGAAATGGTCCTGTCAGCAACTGTGCTGTTGATGGCGGCCGATTTTTCCATGAGTTTTTTTAGAAGGACGGTCCTTTCAGCCTCGTTGGATGATTGTGGATTGCTGTTTGCTAACTCAGCGGCATCACTCCCATTCTTTGCAGAGCTAGTTGCCGAGGAGGAGTGTGGTAGCATGCCAAGCTTTGACTCCGTGAGAGAGAAGGACTTGGGAAAAGACTCGTTGCGAAGCTCTTCAGTTGGGGTGGATTGCTCTTTCATATCTTCATCCAGGCATACAGGAGACAGCTTGGTCCCTGTACTCGCTTCTCTCTCTTCTTCTTCGTGTCCCGGTAGGTTTGTAGGGTGTTTGCTGCCATTCATCGTCGAAGCGCTTTCTACCGTACAACAAACACGAAGAGGAGGCATCGCAACAACACGAAACACTGCATCCGCCATGCATCCATTGGCCGTGCGAGAAAGCAGCGGCAATACTCCGCTGTTTTTTTTTGGTTCTTGTCACTCCACGAGTCTGACGTCAGTATAGTGAAAGATTCGATTCTAGACTCGCATTTGCTCCTTATAGGAGTGAAAAGGCAGCGATTTTTTTGGGGGGAGTTTGTCGGATTGCACTCAGAGCCAACGGAAAGAAATCGCCAGCAGAGGGATTGGAGCCTCATGGTTTCGACGGTTGAACGATGTCGGGCGGGGATCGAGTCGAGTCGAGTCGAGTCCATGGGCAAAGGCACAAGGCAGTCTACTAGACCATTCCAATTCTGTGTCACCATGGACGTCTCTTCTCCAATGGTCGCGACCGATGATGCTGCTGAGGTTCGCCGCAACAACAGCAAGTCCTCTTTGCGCTGGGCAGCCCTGTTTCTTGGGGAACTCCGCGATGGTTTGACCATGATCAATATGCAAAGCGCGTTCCTCATCGTCTCGAAGCAGTACACTGAGAAGCAAGTTGGGATCCTTTTCTTTGTCTTTGGGATGTCTCAGTTCCTGTTCCAAACACCCGCTGGATATCTGTACGACTACACGCATCAAAAGCTTCTGTGGCTCTCAGCGGCTTCTGTTGCCACGACGATTTTGACGGTGGCCACAGCTCTTTGGGCTAAAGAATTTGGAGAAAACCTTTTGTTGATGGTGGCCTTGAAATTCGTTCAAGGAGCTGTCACTTCCTTCATTCCACCAGGTCTGAACAGTATCACCCAAGGAATTGTGGGATCTGTGGGAATGACGGAACAAGGTACGAAACAACACTGAGTTTCTTGAGAGATGATACCGGTTTTGTTGTCTTTTTCTCACGAAACCATCCCAAAAATCACCTCTCTTCCTGTGCCGCTACAGTCTCTCTGAATGAGATGATGAACCATTTGGGGACTGCAATCATTGTTTTGAGTGGTAAGTGACAACTGGATGGAAAACCGCTCTTTGAGTCACATATTATCACTAACACACTCCACTCCACTGATCATACATCATGCATGTATCTATAGGCTCCCTCATTGCCTTCTTCTTGTACCCCGATATTGGATTTCTTTTTGTCGTCAGCCCCATTGCCTGTTTGGGAGTCATATTCTTCTTGCAGCGTATCAATGCCAAGGATATCGATCATGCTGCCGCCCGTGGCCTCACCAGCGAAAGCCATACTGGAAAAGAAAGCACTGCCTCTTCGTCAGATTACAAACCACCATCATCCAACAACTCAGTTGGAACCAGCTCAAAGAAAGACGCTCTCACCAACAAACCTAGTTTTGTTTTCGGAATGAATGGGGCCACTAGCCACGAAAGCAAGTCTACTGGACTTCAACCTGAAACTCCACTTCAAGTTCTTCGTGACCCCACTCTCTTGATCTTTCTGGTCATTGTCTTCCTATTTCACACTGCGAACGGTACCGTATTGCCACTGGTGATGCAGACACTTGCTATTGGAAATGGACGCAGCGGAATCCTCTTGAGCGGACTTTGCATCATCGTGGCACAGGTTTTCATGGTCATGAGCGCCAAGATTTGCGGAAAGTATTCGGCAGTGTACGGAAGAAAAATGCTGTTCTTGATTGGATTCTTTTCTGTGCCAGTTCGGTGCCTCCTGCTCTATGGAATGCTCATGATGTGGGAAGGTCAGATCCAAGGAAATCTATTCATCCAAATTGTGATCTTGTCCACTCAAATCCTTGATGGCATTGGAGCTGGAACATTTGGTACCATGTACATCCTTGTCACTAGTGATATCAGCGGAGGCACGGGGCGTTTCAGCTTGATCCTTGGTATGACTACGGCAGCCATGTCCATTGGGGGGACCGTCTCTGGATATCTTGGAGAAGCCCTTGCTGAGGATCTGGGTTACCGAACCACGTTTTTCATCTTGGCAATCATGTCGGCCGTCCCTGCTTTGATCTATCTCACATGCATGCCCGAGACACTCCCCGACCTCGCCAAGAAGCAAGAACCGGGCAGCGACAAGGCCAATATCCACAGTATCAAGGAAGAAGACGAACCTTCACCAGAGACTGGATCCAAGGCCCGTTACATTGTGAGTATTATGGATGTTTTCTTGGGAATACCAACACCTTGTTTGTCGTCCGATCTCAACGTATGGATCCTTGTTTTCTGCACTCTTGTGATACAGGAAATGTACTAGTCCGAATGGCATCAGGTATTTGTGTTGTGCCCTTCTTTGCCTTGGATGAGCAGAAGACTGTCATCGAACCATAGAGAATTGCAAGAGATTTGTCAGACTCTGACTTGAAGCGATGAGCCAGCAATCTTTTGCTGCTGTTCCAAATTCACATCCTTTGACGCTAGTGGCACTGCTAATGTGCATTTCATTATCTTAGCAGGCTCTAACTAGACCATTGTGTAACACAATTTTGCTATCATAAACTTTTTGCTGCTATGCTGTACTCTAGTTCGTAGAAAGTTTTCAGTACAGTACACTGCATCAAAGAGAATTGCAAGAGATTTGTCAGACTCTGACTTGAAGCCATGAGCCAGCAATCTTTTGCTGCTGTTCCAAATTCACATCCTTTGACGCTAGACAAGTCGGGCTGCATGCTAATGTACATTTCATTACTAGTATTATCTTAGCAGGCTCTAACTAGCCAGACCATTGTGTAACACAATTTTGCTATCATACACTTTTTTCTGCTACTGGTAGGCTGTACTAGTTCGTAGAGAGTATTTCAGGTTGCTGGGCTTTCAGTCTACCGTACACTGACCACCCAGTCACAGTGGCACGATGTGCACTCGACAATCAAGCTCAATGCTCCTTTGTAACGCTCATATCACCAGTCTACATAGAAACACTGACTTCTACGGTACATCGTACGCAACACGCCTCTTTAGAATACATGATGAGTTGTGGCCATTTAAGAACCCCAATCGCTCCCAGTTCCACGTTCTATTTTAAAATCCAAACGGAACAACGGGACGCCGTTGGTTTCAGCCAATTGATACTATGCATGTTCTTGCTGGTTGCGTATAAAGTGCTCACAAATTGTTTGGAGTTGGCCCGCATTGGTCTTTTGAGCAAGAGGCAGCAGAAATTCAACAGTTTCAGCGCTGACAGATGGCTGCAGCATGGTTTCGCAGATTTGCTTCAAATGATCCAAGAAGAATCGATCTGCCAACTCCAATATCTCAATGATTCGGCCCAAGCTCACGTCACGAGCTGCATCAGGCCCAGGCCGAAGCGAAGGACCAGGGTCCATCTTCGGTGTCTGCCCAGTATAGATATACTCCATGACAGCAAGGAAGGCCTCTAGCGAAACATCATTGAGTTCGATTTCCATCTCTTGAGACTCTCGAAACCCTGTGGTGAACATTGCTCGAAAGCAGTCCGAGACAATTGACAATACCAGTCGGTGACCATAGACTTTTTGCCCCTGAACGATAAATGTAACGTCCGAGAATTCGTCGTCGTTGAAAAAGTGTCTCAATCTTCTGTCGAGCAATTGCAGACTAGTCGGCTCAGTGACTCGCGCGTGAGGCGGCGGATCAGAGTCCAAAACAAAGAAGTCGTTGAGGTAATCGCTTCCGCAAGAGCCGCCGAAAACATAAATTCGCCTGTTGACTGCAGTTGCTGTGTGACCGGCACGACGACCGGGGCCTACTCCGTGCACTAACACAGTTGGGATGGTCTCCTCATCGTTTGGATTTGCGCCGCCACCACCCGCCATCGGTACAATACTCCCGCCCTGAGAAGGGGACCCGGTTTGAAATGCATAATCTCTAGCTCGCCAGTCAAGCTGTGCTGATGGCGCGTAAGAACTGCCGCCTCCACCATCTTGCATTCCTCCCGCGAGTGACGGAGAACGCATGGCTCCGAGGCGTTGTCCAGGCTGCATGACGTTTCCATGGGGTAAACCAGGGTGATATCTCTGCGTTGGTCTATCGCCCATCATTTCTCTGTCATGACCTGGCACAACGCCGTTGCCGATCAGTACAGGGTGATCAGGATGAAACCCCCCTGCCCCGATATTGCCCACAAGTGGCCATCGTAGATTATAATCGTCATTATGTGTATTGTCGTTCATGTGGTGCGCATTCATGAGCCTCTCGGCAGCGTTGTGTTCATTCATTCCTCCCAGCATGGAGTTTCCCGGCATACCTCGCCTCGGCTCGAACTGTGTTGCGGTAACATCCAACCACGCCATTTCTGAACGGTCCAATATTTGCAAGTCTTGAAAGCACTTTGAGCTATCACACACAAGAGTTGGAGAGGAGAGAGGTGAGATGCGCGACATCATCATCAGCAAAGCGGAGACACTGCAGCTTCTTCTCACCTCGTGCCACTCCCTCCAAACAGATACAGTCGACCCCTGAGGGCTGTCAGGGTCATCCCTGCCCTTGGGTGCGGCAAAAGGCCTCCGATGTGTGGACAGGTCCAGGTGGATGTTTCGGTGTCTAAAATATGAATATCATTCAATCGTTCTGTTCCATTCCTGACAAGTACATGTAAGTATGACAAACAAAAATAGAGCAGAGCCAATGAGTGAGCTGAAATAACGCCTGACAAAAAGCCAGAACTGCAAGATTGATAATTATTGCGTACCATCCACCAAAAATAAACAACTCGCCAGTGTCCTCTAGAATGGCTGAAGAATGATTTGCTCGTTGTTGTGGCACTGCACCATTGGTTTCGACCCTTCTCCAGGTGAGAGATTCGACATGCAAAGCATGCAAATCATTCAAATATTCGCGACCATTTCCACCACGGAACACATAGACCTCTTTTTTGCTAGCAACATAATCAGCACTGTGCATATTGCATGGACCAGGAGGGGTGCCTTTCACGGCGGGTTGATACCATCTGAGCCGTCGGCCACCATTGGCGATGTCCAACACGTGCATGTCGGAAGCAGCCAAGGGACCTGTTCCCAACCAACCTCCAATGATAATTATTCTACCATTTTCGTCGTCATCAGGATCAGCCGCAAGGGTGGCAGAGTGACCATTGCGGCCGGGCGGGGCATTGCCTGTCGTGAGAGAAAATTGTGTTTAGTGACGAGAATGGGAATGACGAGAAAGTTTTAAAAAAAATGCCACGGCGTACCTGTCACCAAAACGGTGGTATCGCCCAAGAATGCTGCTTGATCTGGGCCTCCAGTTCCTACATGATGAGGTCGAAACCATCTCTGATCCCGGATGGAATACAGCAGCAGCGAATTGTGATTTCTTCTTCCATCATAGCCACCGAAAGCGTATAGAGTGCCAGCAAAATGGGTCACCGAATGGTTCTTTATAGTCGGAGCTCCAGGTCCGCCATCATGCGGTGAAGAAGACTGCTCTGACCATTGCATATTGTTCATCTTGGCGGTGTCACAGCGGATAATACATTAACATTGGTCTCTACTCTACTCCTTCCTCTATCAACACCAGAACACACACTCGGGGTGATTGATTCGAATTTCGTGTGGCACGTCGATTTCGATCGAGTCACCCCTGTGCATCAGCTTTGTCGTGCATGCCCCTGTCCCTTGGGTCGATTCTTCGTTAGAGTTAAGGATTGACACAACTGGACTACGTCGTTTGCTTTCGCAAGTTGCCAGCACTCATGCAACACAAATCAACACTTCATGATACCGTATCTTTCAAGTTGCTGCCGGCAGGGTTGGGGAATGACAACAAGCAGACAACCACACGAGGTGCTATGCATGCAACGCATGTACGGTATTGGTACCTGGTAATGTAATAATAATAGGCTACATAGAACACTCAGAAGACTCACAATGTTTCAAATACCAATGTGAGAGGTCCAGCACTCGAACAGAGCATCTACCTGATACAGGTATCTAGCGACGTCCCATCTGCTGCTTCAGAAGGCGGAAACGGTTGAGATCACCCCGCCTCCGAGGACCATCCATTGAGAACATCAGCTCAAAGTCCTCGTCCGAGAACTCGTCCGGTGACGAGGTATAGAAGGCGCATAACTCCTCGACTTCCAACTCCATCATTGCGATCAAGCTGGCAGAACGCTCGAAAGAAACAGCTGCAAGCTCCACATCCCAAAAGCTACCATCAAAGCTCGTTGCACCCTTCAAGTCGCGATACAACACTGATCCGCTTCGGTCGAGCGCCTCGATACCATTCATAGTCAGCGGCGCTTTCAGGATGATACCCTCGCCATTTGCAATGACTCGAACTGTTTCCATGAGGCAAAGAGGGATGTATTGCTCGAGACAAGAAAAGGAGAACGCGGTGACCGCGTTTCCGGCAGCTTCACGCAGATAGTCACTGGAACCTGTCATGTATTCCCCAAGTTCGTTCACGCATGACGGAATACGCACAGCATCCCTAGCAATCAATGTGGAACTCTTGCAAATCTTGGAAAGCTTCGAAATGCTGCGAATTGCCAAAACAAGACAATCACGTGAGAAAACAAGTGAAACAACTACACGCATTCTATGCATAACCACTCACGTCTGCAATAGCATTTCAATGCGGCAAAACTTGGCCATCTTGATACCGTTCTGCTTGAGTGTCTTGATGGCTTCACGCAAGGCACGGGTTGATGAAAGGGTTTTGGTGTATCCGTTGCCACGAACATGCAGGCGAGTCTCCAGCAAGGATGAAACCTTCAGAAGAGAATGAGCCAAACAAGCCGCCTTAGTCAACTCTTCATCTGAGCACATGACAATGCCATTCCTGTGGCTGTCAAGCAGGAAGTCAAAGAAAGGTCTCAAGTACTGGAGCTCTTGTGCGAAGACAGATTCTTCTCGTTCGATAGATGCCTCAGGACTGCCCATCTCATCGTTGTTTGAAGCAGGACCAGATTCCAGATTGTAATGTGATTCCGTGTCGTTAGCTGGTGGGCGCAGTGGCATGAGAGAGGGGTCTTTGTTCTGTGATCCACTACTTTGTCCGCCTTCCGAAACGATGTTACCACTAGAGCTCGAATCATATGCCCTCATAAGCTTTGTAAATGTGCCTCTCTTCTCTAGGATGGAGCTGAACGAAGCAAGCCCACCCTTTCCCTTATCCAACAGGAGTCGCAATGCAGTCTTGCCTTCGCAGAGATTTGCAACCTGCGCTTTGACCCGCGAGAGGAAAGTTAGGACCACATGCTCCAACACAGACACCATTGGTAAGTACATCTCGCCACCGTCGGGAAGACGATGGATTGCAACGAAGAGGGATCCGGTGCTGTTGTACAACACGGAACAAGCCTTGCACATGTCAACATCCATTGGGGCATTTGAATTGGGGCGAGAAAAGACGGTCCTGTCCAAAATGGGATCAAAAGCGTCGTTCATTTCCAAGGCAACCACAGTACCATCGACGGCTTCCTGCTGGAGAACTGGCAGCAGATGGTTCTGGATGATTTTGTCCAGGAAGTCAATGGCAGGTTCCTCTGCTGGCGGAGCAGACGCCGCCGCGTCGGAAGCAGTTTCACCCGAGATCAAAGACAGCTCTTTTTTCATAACCTGCATTTCTGAAGTCCATTTGTCTAGGCTGCGTCGAAAGGTCAGTGCGTGGTGGACCTGCGGAGTCGTCTTGGTGCGAGGGAACAACACAGTCGCTACGAACTTGGAGGTTGTCATTTCCATCACGTTCTTCCTCGTCGTCAGCAGAGCATTCTTTCCCGTATCGTCGTCGTCGTCGTCAATGATTCCAAGGGAAAACAGGCCCCTCTCGCGCGTTCGCCCTTTGCTTGCCATGCTTTTGTCCATGCCATCTATTTTGTCGTGAGCACTTGGATCAGTGCAGGCTCTGAGAAAGTCTTTCAACTCCTTTTGGATGAGATCGTTGGCCGTAGTGATCGCTGACTTCAACGTGGATGTAGCATTGCTGAATTTCTCGACATTCTGGTTTTCCACGCCCTGCATAGAGGGAGCGGCAAGGAAAGTCAATATCGGAGTTGGTGCGACGGAACCAAACAACGAGCAAAGAACAGAGGACCCAAGCACTTACAATTCGATATCGCACGATTTGAGCGAGATGCGAAAGCCGCAGCATCACACACCCAAACGCGCTCAACAGACCAGTCCAGTGTCTGCGGAATTCCTTGAGATCTGCCTTCTTCTGCCGGGATGTTCTCATGGGCGCAGCTCTTCGACGCTCTAGACGGATGAAAGTGCGAGCTTGTTCGCGCTGCACAATTGTTCTTATTTCAGTGAGGAGGTTTTCGGAAAACAAACGCTCAACGTCGTCCAAACGTTTCAAAGTGGCGGCGCATTCAACCAAGATCCTCAACGAGAGAACAGGGTCAGCATAGCGAGGCAACCGAGTGCTTCTTGGGTCGGCATTTTTGCCCTCTTGGATGCCAGCCGTCACACCGTACAAGGCAGCACTCTGCTCCAGACACCTGCGTTCATCCGCTTCTAGATCAAGTTCTGCTTCAATGATTGGGATGGGAATCATCATGCTAAGTTGTTTTCGGGTGGTGGACCCTCCCTTTGTCGAAGCCGACAAGCTGGTTGCATTACCAGAGGCATCATCGGCAAAGTCCCCTTCCACGCTGAACAGTGAAGCCCCAGAATCGACACTTCCTACACTGTCGTCATCCTTGTCAGCCATGTCATCAGGCGCCAAGCTGATTTTTCGGCTAAAAAATGGATTCTCAACTCCATGGCTGGGGATTGTCGCTCCATCCTCCAATTGACTTTCGGATCCATTGGCTGTTCGAAGAAACACTACGCTCTGTAGAATATCCCAAATGAGCTCCTCTGCCTTTTGCTTGCGTAACATGAGCTGTTCCATAATCTTGTGCAAGGCTTGGACCTGCGAAAAAAATGCGTACAGAGTATTTGATCGTCAGCATTTGGAAAAGCGACAACTGATTATATAATCATAATCAGATCCAAATGAGCTCACCTGAGCGACATCGTCCGAAAACATGGTTGCTAGAGCTTGACTCAGACATAAAACAGCGGCTCCGATGCGACAGGGTGCACGGATGAGATGGTCAAAACGACTGGGTGCAGCACGAATCACATCGAGTTTGTTGAGTAAAGACAAAACCGCTTCACACTCCAGTTTCTTTAGCCATAGCTCTCGCAAGGACATGGCATTTGCAGCAGCTTCCCGAGAGACAGTCCCTTTGGCAGTGGCACGAGCATTATCAGCTGTATTGGCAGTGGCGCCAATAGTATCTTGAATATCTCTGACTTGACGACGAAGGTTCTTTACTGTAGCGACGGCTTCGGTAAATTTGCGTGCGACCTGTCCTACGCGAATAACAGATCCATTGAGGTCGGCACAATGCATCAATGCCATGTGCTCGATTGCTTCTTCAACGACTGCTTGTTGTCTTTTGAGATCCCTGTAGGCTGGATTTCTAGCCAACACGCTGTGTGTAGTAGTGGCGCCAGACACGACAGATGCAGCATCATCAATCAACTGCAAACCCAAGACATCAATCACACGGTGGATGGTTTGGAAATGGCGAGGGTCGTCGAACAAGTCGTTGTCCACTTCCGAAGCCAGACGGCCCTCCCACTCTTGCAGATCAGCGTTGGTGAGCTCCATGTCTCCTGTGCTCATCTTGCCTTCTTCGTCGTCATTGTGGTGGCTACTTCTGTTGGATGACGACTTTCTTCTTGACGAAGTAACAGAAACCCGAGACGGAATCCTCTCTGCGCCAGGGTCCTCTGCTTCCTGAGCAATCGGTCGCGGCATGATGGCTGTATCGTCGTCGACTTGACTTGTTCGCGATTGTTGGAAGGTGTGGTCGAGATGCAGCAATGATGAGAGTGGGAGGCAACAGAAAAGGACACTTTGCCGTTTCCGAAGATCCGTCATGATTATAAAAGCCGTTGAAACTTCCTGGTGGGAGAACGCTGACGATTGACGATACCAAGCTTGTTAAAGCTTTGAGTGCTGTGAAATCATGTCAAAGTATTAGGGAGTCCAACGACTACATTTTTTGTCCTTCATCTCATCTTTCTCCAAAGTCAGGTCCTTCAGACACTCTCTTGCTGTGCTGTTGTGCAAGCTATTCATTCGCTATCATCGAATCAATCAAGTAGTGCTGAATCACAATGGACGAAGAAATGATCATACGAGTGGTTGCTCCAGCAACGCTGGAAGAAGGCTTTAGTTTTGACATTTTACTTGAGGGACGGCCCATCAGTGTCACCGTCCCAACAGGAGGCGTTTCCGAAGGAGAAGAATTTGAAGTTCCCTACCCTCAAGAGCTTCTTGAGGAGCAGCAACTCCTTCATTTGGATTACAAAAACAATCAACATGGATATTTCATGGGGCAGGACGAAGAAGAAGAGGCTCCACATGGCCAATTTCGAGTGTCATTGTGTTCTTGTTGCGATGTGATTACACAATCTACATTTTGGACAGGATGCTTTTGTGTCCCTGTGTTGTTGGCACAACTTCTGACTAGGCTTGGTTTGAAATGGAACGGGCGAGAAATTGAAAAGCAATCGGAAAACTTTGGTGAACGCAGAAATGAACGGCGGTTCAGGGATCCCCAAATGGAGAGGTCAATGACATTCAACAGAATCATTATGGCATTCATTGGTGCACTGGTCCTGGGCTACATTCCAGTGTTGGGGGGGTTGATTGTGATAACATTCTACATTGTGACCACGGTCTGGATTGGTGGCAATCTTCGGCGTCACGTGCGGCAGCGCTACGAAATACCCAACAATTGCTCACTGCTACCAGGCAGTTTCGAGGACAGATGCATCATGTGCTGTTGTGGGTGCTGCGCTGCCATCCAAGTGGCTCGACATACACACGATGACAAAGAGTACCCGGGTGCGTGCTGCACTGTCACCGGCTTGTAGGCGGGATATCCTCTAGTAGCTACATGCCTGACCAGTACTATTAATACATCAATCAATGAACTGAGCAGCAAGAATAGCGGTCATTGCAAGTATTCACTTCTCTCTGCCTTAACCTGCTACCGGTATCGACTATAGCTAGGTAGCTGTTGATACTAGCAACTATGTTTGTGCTTCTACTCGGTTACGCCCAGTAGGCTACTAGTAGTTTCATTCTGGCGATTGCTCCCAACTACATAGCGCTTCTACCGGTACTGGTACTCGGTTGCCGTATGCCACTCTAGTGTTGTAATTTCCCAATCTCCTCCGCTCATTGATACTCACCAAGGAAAACCTTTCATGCATAACAAATCATCACAATGCAGACGACATCACAGCAGTCAACGTGTCGACCTTCTGCTGATCCGAAGCACCGCCGTCACCACCATTCACCTTTACAGTTAGGACAAGCAAGGCTTCCCCTGATTGTTTGTCAAGATTGCCCTGAATCAGCATCAAAAGTCCTGTTGGCGAGTCTTGTGCATACAAGAAGAATTTGAATTCTGTTGGCAACTCGCCGCTGGCCATGGTCTTGATGCCGTGTCTTGCCAATGCCGTCTCCACCTCCTGTGTCGATCCCGGAATCTTCTTGAGAGGAACCATTGACACCACAGATTGTGAATCATTGATGGCTCCCCATGTATTCTGGTATTCATCACCCGTCATGCTGACAGCAGCATTGAATGGCGGTCCCCCAGAAGGCGCAGCTGGGGCGGGGGCGGCACCACCTGGGTCTCCCATCCCCAGCAAGTCGAAACTGCCGGCTGCAGCTGCAACAGCAGGTGCGGGGGCTGGAGCGCTCGTTTTACCAAGGACGTCAAGACCGCCTCCTGGGATCGCAGAAGGAGCTGCACCCTCGCTGCCTGGTTCAAGTGGGTGTTCCTTGGGCTGTTTCGCAAACTTCACTTGGAATTCCTCCGCGATAAAGTTCTTGGATTCCCTTCCGAAAACAATGGACAGCGTGTTAAACTCTTTCATGAGCTCGGCGCGCAATTCGAAGTCGTCCTCCTCCGCAAAGTTAACTCCTTGGCCAAGAGCTGTTTTGGTGTCCACAACGCTTGCCAGCACTGGAAGATCGACACCAGACTCTAACATGCGATAGTACAGCAGAGCTCGGTCATGCAAATCCTGCGAAGACACATCGTCAGTCGCTTTGGCTAACAAGCGCCCAAGCATAGCCTGGACCTCTGCTGGCCGCTGACAGAAGAGTTTCATGGTGCTGCTCAACAGCGCAATTTTGATTGTCGCGTCATCGATCTTGTCGTACGTATCAATGAGTTTTTCCAGCGCGTACGGCGCCATTGTGACCTCACTGCATTCTCCCAACAAGTAGACGATGCTGCCTTTTCCGGAAGATTCCTCGACATACTTGAGACTGCGAGACAATGGGGGCGCAATAACAGATTTCAACCCTGGATGCTTTCGGATCACGCTTGCTAGAGACGTGGCAGCCTCACTGCAGATGTGGGACACATTTAGATCGAGCATTTCGACGAGTCGGCGAGCAATACTCTCTGCACAACCAGGACCACCCGTGTCTCGGCAAGCGATTTGCATGAGACTGCGCACAGAATATCTGGAAATTTTGATGTTCATATCATTTACGCACTCTGCAAGCTCGGCCACAATGTCTGGGGCATTTTCCGGATTGGCCAACTTGGGCAAGATGGAGATCTTGAGATACTTGATGTGGGTCGGTTCGTTGTACTTTAGAAAGAATTGTCGGTATTCGTCATCAAAAACTCCGGGGACCGCATCAATCAAGGATTCGGCATGTTTCAATAGGGAATATCCTAGTTCACTAGAACACGACGAGATAAGGGTGACCAGAGGAGCCTTACATCTCGAAACAATCTGCCTTTTCATCGCTTCTTCATCGGGGCCTCCAACGGCTTCTGCCATACTCCAGAAAGCCCGGATGGTGGCAATGACAGCGCCTGGGCTGTACCGTCCCAAGACAGGATCCAGGAGGTTCATAATTTGGTAGGCTTCGTCATTGTTGGCAGGAATATACTTGGGGACAAGATCCAAGATCTGCACCACAGAAAATTCCGAGAATTCGTGGATTCGATTCAAGAGATGCAACATGATGGCTCTATTGATGGCCATTCCCCCGTTTGGAGAATCCGCCATGACTTCATTGAGCACAATGATACAGTTGCTGACTACGCTAGCATCAGGATCGCGAAGCATGTCGTAGAGGATATCGACAAAGCTGCTTTCTTGAAATGCCTCTCGATTCAGCCTGTATAGCTTGAGCATTCCCATGACGCCAGTTTTTCGAACGTAGGCGTGACCATCCGTAAGAGATCTTCGAAGAGGCTCGCTGATGTATTCGACCATTCCTGGCAATTGAAGGCCACACAATGCTCGAAGAGCCAATCCTCTGACCATGGGATCCTCGTTTCCACAATCCTTCTGGAGCGTGTTGGTGCACATTGTCGCGAGCTCTGGATGCGAGCGAGCATAGTTGACCAAGTAGAGGTAGACCATCTTTTTAATGACCAAATCTCGTGTCTCAATGGCCAGCATCATTTCCGAGAAGAGGCGAGAGACATCAATTCCGAGCGTCATGTAAGCAATTACTTTCTTGATAATGTCTCTCTTTCGTTTGGGGTCACGTTCCGTGGAGAAGTTGCGAAGCAAGGTCTTGAGCTCGTTGACTTCTCCCTTGCGAGACTCGGTAAAGTAAGAGTCGGGCATTGCCGCAGGCCCTTCGGGAGGGACACCTCCTTGATTGGGAGGGTATGCAGTAGCCATTTTGTTACGAAGATGCGATACAGAGCGAGGAGAAGGGTGATAAATGGTGGTGGTAGGCTATTTTAAATAATCGTTCGAAGTACATGTAGCAGTGATAACACCAACAACAGGAGCCCTCTCTTTGGTGTGATTGGTGGCGTTGTCGGATCTTTGTATCTTTGTCATTGAGCGGTGCACTCGTCGATCGACCCTGCATTTCCCCTAACGGATTGAATTCGAATCGAATCGAATGATCCGTTCGATTCGATTAAGTCAATCGAGTAGAATGATGAATCGAATAGAATCGAATCGATTGAATGCGATAACGGTCATCCAGGTCCATCAGTGACTGTTGTTTGTGACTTCTTGTGCCGAAGCAAGACACTGTTTGTGCAGAGAAAGACAAGGCAGGACTCTTACTGTCATCTCACAATAAAGAACGAACATGGTGGACGAATCGTCTTCTGAGTCTGCTGTGAGCAATTCCTCATCGTTGCGAGATGAGCCTCGTTCATCATCTGGGGCAGCACCTCCCGTGTTGAATATAGGAACTGACGATGATGACAACCCACCAATGCCACCTCGACGCCAGCACAAGTACACAACGGCGGATCTACAGCCCGAACGACCCTGGAAGCGATACTGCCTCATTTGTTTGGCCTTTTTGGTGATGATCGCGATTATGGTTCTACTATCCATCTTCCTGCAAAAGCTCTTTGATCCCCCCGAGGACTCAGACTGGTCCGACGACGAAACGAGCAACACCGAAGGCAGCGGAGAACTCACGGGAGAGTCGAAGTTGCTACCCAAAGGGAGTGACTATTTGAATGATGTCTGTTCCAAGGATAGACTGGATATGGCGAATCGAGAAGCTTGCGTCCAAGCGTGTGCCCCGTCCATCGACTGTTGCAATCCATACGCAACAGATAATAGCACCTGCTTTGAACAAGAAGTGGCTTCATGCGTGACTTATTCTATCTGCCACGCACTCGATGGATTCAAAGAGCCTCCTCACAAAAATTTGGACAGAATATGCTCTTTGGATGAAGTCCAAGCTAGTCCCGTCCCCTGTGAAACGGCATGCCAATCTATGCAATGTTGCATCTCCGACGTCGATTCCTGTCTCAGCACCAGCTTTCAAGCCTGTTTGGATTATTCCTCCTGCCAAAATTTAAAGCTGGCCGAGGGCAGCAGCAACCAATACATTGCTGCAGCGCCGTCCACACTCAGTGAGCACTGCAGGGACCGAAGTCCTCAATGCATCCGAGATTGCAAGGATGGCGCTGCCTGCTCGGATGAACAATCTGCTTTCTTCCGAGACAACTTTGTGGCTTGCTTGACCTACGCATCCTGCAATCTACATGATGATGCATCGACTACACGCATCAAAATTGCTCCCATCTATTCTCGAGTCACTGAAGCGCCAGAAGATTTGAAAAGGGTTTGCTTGGAATCATATGTTACTACAACAGGTCCACATGAATGCCAACAGGCCTGTGCAACCGCCGAGTGTTGTTTCGCAGAAGGATCGGCTAATTGCTTTGGTGATGATCCACTGGGGTGCTTGTCCTACCAAATGTGCTCCGTGCTGCAGTAGTGGGGCATTTTCATTGCTTGCTTAGTCAACAGTTCATAATAGAGGTGGCTTGGGGAAAATCTCTCTTCATTAATAATGACCTTACCATACCGAATGCCTTAGGATGGTAGTTTGACTCGACTCGACTCGGGTCTTTCATATTGGGCCAACCAATAAACGTAGGCACAGGCTTTCATACGGTATTATGTTTGTCAAAGGTAATAGTATCCCTGTTTCGTTCGTTGATTTGGATGGTCTGTCGTACGTTAGTGTGCAATAGAACCTTGCAAGGAAGGACGGGGAGCATCTATGGTGCTATTAGAAGCCCACGTATACGGTGGCACAAAAACCTCTACGTACGTGTGATATGCGTATGAATTCGGTTGTTCAATTTCATTAGAGAATTGGCATAGATTGGGAATTGCCAACATGACTAACTATACCACCGGTCTAGAGGTCTACAACATCATGGTTCGCAAGGCCTTGCTTCGTTCAAACAGAGACGTGACGACCGCATCCATGTTGGCAATGACTTCCAGCCCCTTCTCCATGGCCGAATCCTTTTCTGATTCCTCATACACAACCAGCTGTCCTTTACCTTGATCCAAAATGCCTTGGAACTTTCCATCCAAGATCATCTGTGACAGCTTGCGCTCGACCAACGGGACACTAATCTCAATCAATTTGGAAATGTGTTCAATCTCAACGCAACTATAGGGCTCGATGATACGAATGAGATTGCTTTCGAGCAACTGTTCTTGCAAGAGTTGTAAGTGATGCTTGATCAGGAGATCGTCTTGAAGCTCGCTCGAATACTCATTGAGAACTGCTTCGTACTCCTTCAGACTTCGTCGCGACGCAGCCTTGGCCACTGCCAACATTGCTTCAATGTCACGACCAGCATACTTGACTCCTTGACGACCAGTAATCATTCCCGAAATGTCGACGTCCGACCGGTCGCTCGTGGCACCTTTGACAGTTAGCAAAGTGTTTGATAAGATGATCGTGAGTTCAACGACAGATCATTTTGTTGCAGATTGCTTTGTGTTGTATTCGTGCAGACTTACCAACCCCTCCCTTTGCACTGAGCTTGAGCGCCTTGTTGAGTGAATCCAAGATACGACAAAGGGTCATGTACTTCAAGCACGGAATGGCCTGGTCCCTGTTATTCATTTGATCCAGCTGTTCAAATGCCTCTAAAAAGTAGGAGTGAGCCGTATTGTAGTCTCCTTCCTGTGTATGGATGGTTCCTGACATGGTATCGATCGATGCTTGCAACGATGGAGAAACATAAATGGCATTGGCGGCGGTTCGAGAGGCAGTCAAAGCCGCCTTGGCCTTGGGAACATTTCGCAGGGCAAAATGGATCTTGCTCTCCATGAGATGGGCTTCTACCAGGAGCTGTTTGTCGTCCAGTTTCTTCAATTCACGGAGAAGACGATCGATCAATTCAATGGCGGAGGCGTAATCCTTCTGCAAAAAGAGAATGGATGCCAATTTGGCTTCCACACGTTGACGCAGAAAGGTCCGCTTTTCCGATCGAGTCCATTCGATAATGTTGTTGCAGATCTGTTCTTGCATATCCAACTGATCAGGAACCAAGCTGCACACGATATCCAAGACCTGACGAACCAACTTGGCGCATTTTGCCCGATTGATATTGTCGAAAAAAGCCTTGCCAGTGGCGCCTGTGAGGAAGTTGACCACCTCATTGTATTCCTTGATGGCACAGTAGGCCCGAGTCAAGTCATACACGGCTCTCTCCTTGATAGAAACAGCCTTGGAACCGTAGCGAGGTACGTCGGCCTTTTCGTCTTTGATGAGAGAAATCAATATTGGCACCTGCTTATCGGCTGGCAAAGCTGAAGCCTCATCGGCCAACTCCATCAAATCTTGGACATCTTCTTCCTCTTCACCAGCAGCGGGTGCAGCGGTGGGTTCCACCTCCATGGCAACGGGTTCTTCGGAGACCATGATCAGTCGAGTGTGTTGTCACGGTACAAGCTACTATCAGAATGTCCTCACCAAGATCGAGAGGCAGCGCCCTTTTGTTTTGTGCCATTGTCGATGAAGCTAGCTGGGAAGCTCTCCGAAGCTTTCGGATCTTTGATTTACACCGGGTCCAGCCCTGGTTATTGGTGATTGATTAGTTAGAGCTAAGGATACATTTCTTTTAGACTACCTTTGGCGATAGGCAAGCAAGTACCGGTAGTAGTACAATCAAGACGATCTGTTCGTAGTAGGCTACTAGCTAGTAGCGTCGTGGAGCATCAAAAGAAACAAACAAACCAACAATGATGGAAATAGATCCAGTAGATGACGGGCCCATCCAAAAGGATGTGCCCACCCCAACGGGGCCATCCGCTTCACCGTTTAACTCGCCTGCTCCTCAACAACCAGTGGCACCAATATCCAAGGAAGATGAGGCGCGACAAGTCATTGAAATGTTGCGCGCTGAGGATGTCTCGGAAAGGGTATCTGCGGCGAGGAGATTGGAAGCTGCTGCTGCTGTACTTGGTGAACAGCGAACTCGATCGGTAAGTCCGTCAAAGTCTAGATAATGGATCTTTTGATTCGAGTCAGTATGTGCTGAATGTTTCTTTTCTTACGGTATTTTTTGGGATTTCACTGCACCAGGAGCTTCTGCCCTTTTTGACAGACGCTGCTGACGATGAAGATGAAGTGCTCCTGGCAGTGGCATCATCACTCGGTTTGCTCATCCCACATGTGGGAGGATCTTTGCACGCTCATTGTCTGCTGCTACCACTCGAAATTCTGCTGACAGTAGGTGAGTTGGTGCACAATGCAGCTGTGGTGTTTGGCGATGTTCTCTTCTAATTGTCATTGGTGCCCATTACAGAGGAGGCTGCGGTAAGAGAGGCAGCCTGCAAGAGTACTGAAATTGTCGCTCAAAGCCTCCCACAGGCTACTTTTCAGGGAGAGTATGCAGAAATGGTCAGCCGGTTGTCTTCCAAGGAATGGTTCACGGCACGCTGCTCTGCGGCAGTACTGCTCTCCACGGCTTATCCCAGCTTTAATACGCAACAACAAAATCAACTACTGACAAACTTCTCCAAACTCTGCCGCGATGATACACCAATGGTACGCAGAGTGGCCGCGCAAAATTTAGGGAAAATGGTGAAAAACGTGGTGACTGTGATGGGAAGAACATCTTTGACTCCAACTGGAAAAGTCACCACATTGCTTCTTCCATTGTACGAAGAACTTGCTTCAAATGATCAGCCGGTGCGTAACACTTTGACAATTTACTGAAACAATGCATACATTGAATTGAGACGCTCACCACTTGGCATCAATCAAAACAGGACTCTGTGAGGTTGCACACCACCGACAATTGTGTCATTTTTGGTCAAATCATGAGCGACATTGTGAAAGACGCCCCACTAGAACATGACGAATTGGCTTTGATAAGCCGGGTTATGCCTCTCATCATGGCAACCATTGATGATCGGTCATGGAGAGTGAGGTGGACGGCCGCTGCAAAGTTCAACGACGTGATATCTGCATACGACATGCTACCAGGCACAATGGAGTCTCTGGTTCCAGCTTTTGAAAAACTATTGCAAGACCCCGAGGCAGAGGTAAGAACTGCTGCAACCTTTAATTTGGCTCATGTCGCCAATTGCAAAGCAAGAGTGCTGGTGTCAAACAATGGACGTCCTCCGGATGGAGGTATGGACTCGAGTGGTCATCGCACATCCGTCGCAGAACGTTTGGTCAAGCGGGTCACGAGCTTGACGGAAGATGACAGTGATCATGTTAGGGCTGCCCTTGCCATGGTGGCTACAGAACTCGCTCCAATTCTGGGGAAGGAATCCACAATCACCCATCTGGTACCTCCAGTGCTCTTGTTGCTTCGAGACGCTGCTTCCGAAGTTCGGTTGAATCTTATTTCTTCACTTTCGGCATTGAACGAAGTCATTGGTGTAGACCTTCTGTCCCAGTCGCTCCTTCCAGCTATTTTGGATTTGGCACAAGATGGAAAATGGAGGTAAGTGGTTAGATGAGTTGCTGGGTATGGTGTTGCTTAGAGGATTGTGATTACAACTTTTCCTTGTATACCACATTGCATCATCCACAGAATACGCCTAGCGATAATCCGGCAGATTCCTCTCCTTGCCAAACAGCTAGGCAAGGATTTCTTCACTGAGAAGCTGATTTCCCTCTGTGTTGGGTGGCTTGGTGATGACATTGCAAGCATTCGCCTTGCTGCGGCGACAAACGTCAAGGTATGTACATTCTATCTCTAGTCATCACAAACTGCATTTATCGCCACCTTCCTCTTCTCATCTGTTCCCATGTTTTGAAAGGAACTTGCTGCTTTGTTTGGAACTGGTTGGGCCATGGAAAACTTGATTCCTGCTGTACTTGAAATTCGTGAGAACAAGTCCTACCTAAGAAGGCTAACGGCCCTCCAAGCATGTTCCATGATCTCGTTGGTTGTGGACGATGACACGACTCGAAGTGAACTCCTACCTATTATCCTTGAGATGGCCGCCGATGGTGTAAGATTTGCTGTGCGCTGTCACCATTTCCTGGTGTAATGATGTTGCCTGACCACTCCTTTTACTCTCATTTTGCGTAGGTCCCAAACATCCGCTTCAATGTGGCGAAAGAACTTCAACTCTTGGCTCCCAAATGTGGTTTGTCGGTTTTTGAATCACAGATTGCCCCTGTTTTGAGTCTGCTGTCGGAAGACGCCGACCGTGACGTTAGATTCTTTGCAGACAAGACGTCACAAGCACTGAAGAAGGAGTTTGCCATGTCTGAATGAATGTATGCCATTGTAATGAAAACTACTAGGCTGATCATGTTTCGCAGCGCTTCTAGCTAGCCTATTGCTGCAAGTATTACCGTACGGGTTTTGCCTGCTTCGAAATTAGATTCCGACATGGCCCTCGTACGTAACAGGCTCCATCCCGTACAGGTAGAAGCTTCGTCCCTCGGCGATCAGCAACCACTGGTGCCGGGTGAGTGCGAATGATTCAATCAACTACCATGGGTTGCCAAGTATGTAGACTACCGTGCCGGTACGGTCGATAGTGCTGTAGCAGTGCGAATCGTCTACCAGCGCAAGTGAACGACATCAAAATTAGCGGTGAGAAAAAGTTAAACTAAGCAAGCTTTTAAAAGAAATTTGGAAACCATCACTATTGTTGTAGTGCGTGATGTGGTTATTGATGGTTCGTGCCGGCAGGTACATGTAGTACGTCGTTTTGTCCATCAAAAACCTGAAAAGAAGTCGCTGTTCATCATTTTCATCTTGTCAACCCCGTCCTTCATGGTGAACTCCTTTGCATTTGCCGCTGGAACCGGTTTTGGAGGAGGTGCAGGTGCCACTGGAACCGGCGGGGGTGCCGGGGCAGCCACAGCAGTTCCGTTGGTTGTGGGTTCCTCCTTTTTCTCAGGCTCCGGCTCGGTTTTCTGATCAAAAGTATCAAATCCATCGTCCGCTTTGGTAGTGGCAGCAGGCCCAGTGGAAAGTTTGTTGATTCGCAGCTTACTCCCGGCTGCAGTTGGCTTTTTCTTCATCATGTTGAGTCCTCCCGAATTGCCCGCCGGTTTTCGCAAGACAAGCTTGGGGGCATTGCCACTACTGGGAGGAGTGACCACCAGCTTGGATGCACCTGGCATACTCGATGCTAATTTTGCCTGTGGCACAGCCGTTTGTTGTGATCTAGCAGCCGCCAGTTTCGCGTGTGCATCATTGGCTTGTCCTCCTTTCTCTGCCAATTCCAAATTGGCCAACAGATTTCCATCCACCGCATCCGTGGAGGCAATTCCTTCACCCCTTTTGGCGGCTTCGGCCTCGATCAGCTTTGCCAATTCCGTCTTGTAAGCGTTGGCGGCTTTGCTGGTGTATTTTTTCTCAATTTTTACGTGCATGTTGCTCATTCCCTGCTTTCGGAAAAATGATTGCGCATTGCTGTTTCCGCCAATCTTCATGGCATCTGCGGAATGTTAAAACCATTAAAACCATTTGTTGGAAAATTGATGATACTAGACAAAAGAAACTCTCGTTACTTATTTTTTGGACGTACCTATTTGCTTTTGAGTCCATTCATCCAGGTCCACCGAGCGGACAAAGGTGGTGTGGACCCCCATGGACCGATGGGTAGCAGAGCAATCCAAGCACAAAAAGACACCTGCAAAACAAGAACGACAGATCATCCAGAAGATAATTAATTGTCAGAAAAACACACATCCGTTGTCATTATCCCTCGCTTTCTGAGCTCCTTTTGCCGACGCACCGAACGTGACACTGGCCCATGTGGGTCTGGTGGCCGGACAGTCAAAACAGACTTGATTGGCAGCAACCGCCTTGATTTTGCGGAACTGAAGATTCTTGTCGGCTGTTGGGATACAGACTTGGCCTCTGCCAGCAGCAGTCACCGTCCCGTCGTTTCTCAAGTTGCCCGACATCGTAACACTCTCGCTTGACCGTCAAGTGGAAACAAGAAATGGGGCAATGCTAACAGGCATCCAGCAAAACAAAGCCTTGGCTTGGTGTGACCAGGCTAGATGAAGAGAGGGCGAAAGAAGCTCGGCGATTTTAGTCCCGTTGGGTCTCAGTGTTTAGTGGCACGCACACTTGCCCTTCCCTCCCCAAGAGACAGCCCACCTCAATTTTCTGGAAGCCTCCAACCAGTCGACAACTCCACACACAAGATACTAGTAGCACTGTAGTCCGCGTTATCACCTCTGACTTTGGAGTTGCTCTTTGGTTTATTACTGAACTTCATACTGGCATATCGGTCTTGGCTTGTTTATTGGTGGCACCATGTCGATGAATGTTTTCCGCCTATGCGGAGACATGTCCCATGTCTTCTCCATCCTTGTGTTGCTCCTTCGGCTGCGAGTGGCAAAAAATGCTCAAGGTTCGTATTGGTTGGCTTTTTCGACTGTCACTCTGTCGCAAGACAATACTAGTAGCCGATCGCGTTTCTCACTTATTGCTTGGCATTTGCACTCATTTCCGCTCTTTCCTTGTACCCTGGGATGTATAAATTGAAAATCGAACAAAAGGAATCTCGGTTCGGACGCATGAGCTGTTTCTCCTGGTGTTTGTGACCCGTTATCTGGATTTGTTTACTACCTTTTATTCCATCTACAACTCTGTCATGAAAGTCCTCTACATCGTGTCGACTGCTTCCATTATCTACACCATTCGGTTCCAAGAACCCATCAAGTCTACCTACGACAAGGCCCAAGATACCTTTTTGCATTGGCGTTTTGCCGTGGCTCCTTGTATGTTGGTGGCAGCCGTGACTCAATTCTTCACCAGCGGTTCTGGTGGCTTTGATCTTCTGGAGTTGCTCTGGACCTTTTCAATTTACTTGGAAGCGGTCGCCATTCTCCCACAATTGATTGTCCTTCAACGCTACGGTGAAGTGGAAAACTTGACTGGAAATTACATCTTTTTCATGGGTGCCTATCGTGCGCTCTACATTCTAAACTGGATTTACAGGGCCCACACAGAGAAGGGGTACCAGCATCATTGGATCGTTTACGCTTGTGGTGTCTTGCAGACTCTTTTATACGTTGATTTCTTTTACTATTACTTCAAGAGGTAAGACTGGCCAAGAAACCAGCCATTGATCAAAAGGAATGATTTTGTGTCTGTCTCACTCAAATGATTTCATTGTGCCATATTTTTAGCAAGAAAAAGGGAGGGAAATTTAAGTTGCCTACAACTACCAAGTAATCATGAACTGTTCGAGTCTTCGTTCTATTTTCTATTTGTTCTTGAGGGAAAGAATCAGGAGGAGATTGCGGAAAGGACATTTGCCAAAAAGGTGCAATTTACATGGTCTAGAATTGGAGAAATAAATGAGACGGAGGACAATCTCCCTCTAGCTAGAGTTCTTGAGTGTTTAGACGTTCGGTGCCATATACATGGTACATTCCAATGGCAAGGTACTAGCTAGCTAGCATATGGCACCAGTTACCGCAGTAGTGAAAGTGCGACAAATTGCACGGTCCCATTTGCTCGAGTTCGGTCATTGGATCGCAAAGATATGACCGTTGGCATCCTTTACACCCCGTTCTATTTTCCGCTGCATCTTTCGCGCTTTTCGTCTACCATAGTAATTTGATAGCTCTGTGGGCTCAATTCAGCCGTTCTTTGGAACGAACAGATCGATCGTACGATTCGATTCGATTCAATCGACCCAATCGAACCTGCACCATCATCATCGACATCTTCTTCTTTTACCACAACAGATTTTTTGGCGGCACCAGGAAACTCTACCCGTATTAGCCAGTGTCTGGAACTGCAGATAGACCACCACAAAGCCCCCACCATGCCGAAGGACCATGCTGTGTCCTTCGACGACGACGACGATGATGACTCGTACAACGCCGATTGGCACCCGGGGATGGAGCAAGCTCCGTCGCAGCTTCCCAATGCTCGGCCCCCGGCCATGACCGAAACGAGCCATCAGACCAACCATGTGCCTCCTCAGCAACAACAGCCGCAGAACAATGGAGTTTCCTTCAGTCTGGATAATATCGCGGATCCAGAACCCGCGTCACGTCCTTCCTATGCCAATTCATATAGCCGCGACAATAACCCGGCAGCACCTAGTACCAAGGCAGACGCTGCGGATGATGGAAAATCTACACGAGCAGGACGTGGAAAATATGCTGCCCCTGTTGACACCAAGAAGCATCGAGTGCGTCCTTACCGATGCTTCTCGGAACCAACCTACATGACTGAAGACGAAATCTACGCTGATATGATGAAGCCTTCCAAAACGACTGCATTTCTCAAATCACATTTTCCACCCTCCACGTCCAAGATTCCAGGAGAACTCAATTTATCAGATTCAATTCGGAGTTTGTACGATTCTCCTGAAGTCGATGGACGGATTGGATCCATTCGAGTCGAAGTTCTAGGTGCTGTTGGATTGGCAAGACAGAAACCTTACTGTGCGACCTATGTCGTTAGCGGAGATTGTGCCTTTTGCACGGATGTTCTGAATAACTTTCGATCTCCCATGTGGCCCAGCGCCTGTACCAGGGCCGCCTGCTTCCCTGTCCACCATGCATACGCCCGAGTCTTTGTGGGAATATTTGATGTCAAGAAACGACAAAACAAGGATAACGATGTCTTTCTGGGACGTGTGGTCATTGATGTGGCACAGCTTCGACCCAACACAGAATACGATATTACATTCCCGCTGCGAGCTTCGTCCTTTGTCTACGACAGGCGCAAGAGAGGTGTCGTTCGATTGCGCTTTTCCTTGCACTGGTTTAGTGAAAGGGCAGCCGTCATGTCATACCTTAAAAGTTCACGTTGGTTCAGTGCCAGTGAACCCCAGCGAGGACTGGGACAGCCGACAATTCCTTGCGCCGAACCCAAAACGTTCCGTAACCTGGCTGTGACTTGTCATGGACAAGATTTCCCCGGAAAGTACACCCGTATGGCGTTTCGTGCAACGATGCGTGAATTCAATCTCTATCACATCAATCTCAGATTCGTGTTAAAGGTACAGTACAGTGTCTACAGAAATGAAAGAAAGCAAGCAAAAGCGTCCTGCCTCCGATGATTTGTCCTCGCTTACTTTGTTGATTCTCCCATTATGCTGATGATTGCAAGACGCTGACTTTGGATGCATTGCTCTACGAAAGACCACACATCTCCTTGTATCTCTTCCTTGCCTTTCAACACTGCATTTACTCCAATGTGGTACGAATGGTCCCGCCGTACTTCTCAGGTTACGTCATTCTTCTATTCTTGGACAATTACAGGCATTTCAACGTGAGCGAAAAATTCACGCTTGGGTACAAACCACTGACAGTTAGAGAAATCATGGTGGGACTGATCAAGGATGGAAAAAGCGACAAGCCGAACTTCAACACAATCGAAGTCAGGAAAAGAGCAAAGAAGAAGATCTCCAAGAAACAGGACAAGGAAAAAGCAGCGGATAACTCCTACTTTGGATCTACTTTCGGTGCATACCCTTCGTTTGGTGCGATGATGGGATTGGGGGCTGAAGAAGAAGAGCTTCAGGAAGGAATCGAAATTGAACCGAGGGATCATCGAGAGTTTCCATTTTCGGAACGCGATGAATACCCAAAATTTGCAGTGCAGGAAGCACTTGCGCCTAGCACCAAAGCTCCCGTGAAAGGTTCGTATAATTGTCTTGAGGTGGAGGTGCTTCCTTCCAGCAATAGACTCGACTCACACTGGATTTGTTCCTTCGTGTAGGCGAGGAAGGGAATACGCGTCTCGCTGGGCGTCTTTCGATCTATTTCGTAAAGGAAGAAGAGAAGGAGGAGGAAAAGGAAGGTGAGCAGTGTTGACCGCGTGTCTGTCCAAGTGCCGCTTTTTCGATGAATTATCTCACGGATCACACGAATGGATCTCAATGAATGCTGCTAGGTGAAGACGAGGACGAAGAAGAGGATGACGACGAGGACGAAGAGGATGACAGCAGCGACGATGATGACGACGACGAAGACAACGACGACAACATCGAGACTGCCGCAGATATTCAGGTAGAAGATGTTGGTAAGCAACTACGAATTTATTTTCGAGATTCACCACCGCGGCATATGATGAATCGAGGCTCATTCATGCATCCTTTTGTTTAGATACCTACGATATGGATCTTGAACCCGAGGAAGACGAAATGAAACAAAGTGGGGGCGCTGGTCTCTTTGACTTGGGCTCGTCGAAGATGAAGCGAGCCAGGGTTCGGGTAGGTCCGCCACAAAATTGTGATATTAGCTCGAAAAAGAAGACTCCGCCCCAGCAAACGCTTCAGAAGATTGAGAAGCAAATGCACAAGCTTTCAAAAGGAATTGCACTGGAGAGAGTTATCACCGTACCCGGGGCCCGCAAATTCGGACCGGAACCAGGCGACGACGATAAAGGATCAAAAAAGAAGAGCAAGAGCAGCAAAGAGGACGTCCTTGCCAAGAGGAGTCACTATGATGAGTTCGACAAGATTCTTGGTCTACAAAGCAAGACCGCCAATCCAGTGTTGCGTATCACCTCGTCTTTCCTGGGGCCTCTTATGCGCATGATCAGGATCTTTTTGTACATTGTGCGAGTCGCCTTCAACATGGCTACCTGGAGAGATCCATATTTCTCTTTCTGGATCCTTTGTTTCCTCGTCATCCAGACTATCATTCTGCTGCTATTTCCCTGGAGACCATTTCTCTTTATTTCGAGTTTTCTTTGCCTCGGTCCACAGGTGAGTGCAAGAGCCGGAACAATCCATTATATTTTCCTTGACAAGTGTCTCTAACCTTTTGTTGAATTGCAGAACGTTTTCGTGAGGAAGTATCTCGAGAAAAAGGCTGCGGAGAAGGCCATGGAAAAAGCCCAGAGCGCTCGCGAAGAGGCTGGAGAAATTGCTTTCACACCCGTCGTTAACGAAAGCAAAGTCGAACCCGCCGACGTTGTCGGACCTCCGCCCAAGGACGAAATGGACAAGTCGATGCCGAAAATCAACGGAAGCGGTCTGGACGCCTCGAAGAAGAATGCCGGTTTGCTAGCGCAAAAGAAATCGAAGAAAAAGTCCGAGGACATGCTGGGAGACTACTTTTCGTTCGAAAACGACGTTGCTGATAACGTCGAACAGCGACCAGCATTCAGCACAGGCCATAACTCGAGGACAAGCAAGAAGACCCGGCCTCGTGAGGTTGCTGTACCCTACAGTAAGCTTCGAAAGGACAGGTTCTTTGACTGGCCCCCGGACCCGACTGTTTCGCGTGCCACCCCTCTGGCCGGTCCCTGGCTTTCCCCAACGGGTGCCGAGATGGACGATGGTGCGTTCGCGGAGAATGGCCACGGCCCGATGGCACAATCGATTCCAGCAGCGAATGGTTTGACCCCCGAAATGGAGAATCTTCGTCGTCGGTATGTTGCAGAGCAGCAACAGTTCAGGGGCGGAGATTAGGACGAGACGACTTCTTGTGGTGTTCGTTTTCTTTGCTCGGTTCCTTTCTTCTTCTTTTCACCTTGCATCTTCGATAATTGAATATTCTATGCTTCGAACATTTTGATAGCACGCACTTTTTGTTTCGATCGTTGTACAGTCTGTAGTAGCTAGCAACCGGTAGAATCGAAGCCTAAAATAGGATGCATAGCAGGAAATGCCGTGCCATCCGAAGATTCTTTGGTCTCCTCAACGACTTCGTAATCCAGCTCCTGGACGCCCTTTCGCACTGAGGTGCGAGCGGGGCATGGATTCTACAACTACCCAAGAGGCGAAATGTCTGCTGATGTACTGTATTATTTCTGCGGCTTAGCCCATGAGCGAAGAAGACACTGGAGGAAGAGACCCCAGAAATCAAACCAGGACGAGAGAGACATTGGTCATGGGTTTGAGAACTTCACTCGTACGCTTTCTTCTGAAAGGAAGCTACTAGTGAAGTTTTGGTTCATGCTTCCGTTGAAGATGCGTCTTTCCCAAGTGTTGATATCAAAGTAGAGATATTGTGGGACACCACTGGTAGCGTTTGGAATTCCGTCTGCCGACCCAGCTCTCTTGAACCATAGCTTGTTGTCTGCATGGTACCGCCATTCCCTTGTGTACAGCTCTTGAGCTGCATAAGCCTGCAGGACATCTTTCGGTAACGCGTAGAAAATGTAAAACAGTGTTTCCAGTTGGAACTTTGATAGATGTCCAGTTTTCAGCGCCGGTGGTTGCATGTAGTAACACACAGGTAGCTGAAAAAATGACACGGAAATTCATGAGTGGGAGGTGAGGACAAAGCGCTTCGCTTGACATCATAGGCCTCCTCGGCCTCGCATGATAAGGGAAGTTCCTACCTGGTAGTGGGGTTCTTTTGATGAGACGCTCTCTGTCCATGGACTCGAGAACGTTTGATAAATTTGGTCGCTGGATCCCAAGCTCAGGCCCAACAGCGTCAGGTCTGATCCGAGTGCTAGACTATTTCTATCAGCATCTGTCATTCTGATGACTCCAAGCAACCCAAGAAGTCCGTAGTCTCCACTCAAAGCTGTCCCTGCTGCCGAGCTGGGTCCTAATGAAGGATTTGGAGCTGACCCCACCGATCCAGGGGCGTTGTTGTTCGTTGTTGAAGGTGCTGACCTGGATTGAACCGACAAAGTCGATGATCCTCGATTCGCTGACGAATTCTGTTGCAATCCACCTAGAACTCCAAGTCCTCCTAATCCAGATCCCCCTAGAACACCACCACCACCTTCCAGTTGGGGACCGCCACCGTCTAAATCGCCGCTGTATAGGCCTCCACTGGAGACACTGGGTGAGGCTCTGGATGCTGAGTTTGCTCCTGCCACAAAAGCGACTCCACCAACAGATGAGCTGCCAGAATTGTTGTTTCCTCCCAAAAGCAAGGATGTAGAGCTTGGCGCTGGGCCGTTGTTGCCGCTGGATCCAGCGGGAGGTGCTCCCGGCAGCGCTGGAAAATCTTCTGTTGCCATGTTGAAGTTTGCTCCTGCTCCTCCGTTGGCCCCTGACGACATGGCCAGTCGATACAGATTGGATGATTTTGGGTTGCTGCCTTGTAGCATTTGCTGATGTTGAATAAGTTGCTGTTGTTGTCGCAGAGCAGCAGCGAGGCCGTTGCCAGAGTTCCCTGCTTGCTGCACACCATTTGTGTTGCCTCCTAAACTAGGAAAATCGCTCAAGTCAAACGCAGAACCGCCAGTTGAAGAAGCCCCTGCATTGGAAGAATTTGCCGAATTGCCATCATTGCCAAACCCATTCCCCAACGAGCTGCCAAATCCGCCTGCTCCTAGCAGCAAGTCGCTTACGCCTGATTGTTGTTGTTGGCCTCCGAACATCCCGAGATTAAGGTATTCGCCGCCTCCCCTCCCGTCTACGGAAGACGCGGCTGAAGATGTGGCACTTGCTGATGCAGATGCCTCCATCCGAACGATTTATTAGATATGGCTGTGGATCGAGTGGTTCGATTCGATAATTGATCGATGCCAGCAAGGGAGGGAAAGAAGCAGAGGTCAGTGATGTTTCGATTAGCCGAGCCAATGTCCTCGGATTTCTACTGTTACCGCAGGAAATACTACACACTGACAACTAGAACCTATGCTGCGAACAAGGAACTGGATCCTCGAGTAGTTGTCCGACAGTAAAAACAACAAAAGACCGCGCCATCGTCAACTCACCTAAAGGAGTCTGCGGCTGGGCTCCTTCAGCAGCATCCAACACAACCACGAGGGTGGTAATATGGCGGGCAAACGGACGGACGATAAGACCAAGATCAGGACTTAGTTGGGTCTGAAAAACCGTATTCAACCAGCATAATTACTAGTAAATTGTAACATACCAATACGTATTTCAAGGGTTTGTTGAGGGTGTAGTTTAGGGTTAATACGAACTTTCTCTCTTGTTGCAGGCTAGATCGATGACGCTGAATGATGCAATGCTGCAGTAGCAGTACGTTAACTGTCAAGTTAATCAAGGTTGTTTCAGCTAGCTATCAATAGTACTCGGGGCTTCACCGGTATAGATTGCTCACAAAGGAAAAGAAAACTAAAAGAGAATGATTCGATTCAATCGAATCAATCACCATTCTGGCAACTCTCACTCTCACCAAAGACAGAATGGATACCAGTGGGTACAACCAGTACGGTATAGAATTGGGTCAATCTAACACTTTGGACTGGTCCGAACGTCCGAACACCTGTATGACCTAGCTTTCCTTAGCCGTACAGCTGTACGACTGTACCATACCGGTACCTGGTACCGGTGCAAACCTTTGTGAGGGATTGGCGCTTGCTACCGGTAGCTAGATTGAGAAGAAATCAAATTAATCTTTTCTCTGGTAGCTTTGCTGGCTTCTCAGGATGCCGATGACTGTGCCCGTTGGAAGATTTTTTGGCCCTCTTGCTTGATCTCGTCTCGTTCTTCCCTCTTCACAACCTTCGACACTCGACTTGTCGCCTTCAGCGCTGCAGCAGGATCTTCGTGTGGTCGCTCTTGGCTGCAATACTGGCACGATAATTAGCTCTCTTGTAGATCATGTCGCATCGATTTCCAGTATACCAGATTGACTTTCAGGCAGTTGCGAGTGGAAAGGTGGTTGCTTCGTCCAAACGAAAAGTTCGATGGTAAGAGACTCTTGTGCACGGTGATTGGATTTTCCGTGCGTTGGCTCATGATTTCACCTGGTCAATTTTCAGGCGCTTTGGGTTTCCCAATCAGCAGGCATTGTCGGAGGGAAGAACGGGAGTGGAATGTCGTGGGGAAGAACATGATATTGTCCTCATCTGGTCGGTCGCTTCGGGAAAGAGGCAGCTCTACATGGACGGAAGAGAAGTTCATTTCTCGACGAGCCGAGCTCAAACATTTCAATACTCTTGGTCGGCCAAGGGAAACCATGTCATAAAAGTCGTTGCCCATGCGACTCCCCCTATTCTTGGCGAACCTTACGAATTGTTCATTGATGGTCAGCCATTTTCCTCCATGCCCAAGAGTTACGGTGAGTCTTTTTATTTTGTTTTTTTTGACAGTTTTTTTTTGACGCTGTGCCTAGTACTAATACTTGGATGATGGTCGTCAGAGTTGGGAATTCGTGGCCAAATCCCTTCGCACGCTCGAGTACCTGGAGCTGGTGGGTACGGAAAAAATTATGGTAAACCCGGCGTTGTGCCTGGCCCATCTAGCCGAGCACAAGAAGAAGCAGATTTACAAAAGGCAATCAGCGCATCCTTGCAGGAATCCAAGCAGTTTTTGGCCAATAAGACAGCACCCCCAGCTGTAGCCCCTGCACCTGCCACTGGCGATTTAATGGATCTTGGAGGACCACCTCAGCCAGCAACAGTCTCGCAACCACCAGCATATCCAGCTGCAGCAACAAACTATGGAGCGCATCCTCCAACCTATGGTGCACCACCAGCACCCCATTACGGGGCAGCACCTCCCAATTACGGAGCCCCTCCTCCCAATTACGGAGCCCCTCCTCCCAATTACGGAGCCCCTCCTCCCAATTACGGAGCACCTGCACAATATGCAGCACCCCCACCTGTGGCTACCCACGCAAACCCAGGTTTTGGTTCACCTACCCAAAGTACCACCAGCATGCCAGGTGCCATGGTCCCGTCAACCCAACCCAGCAACCCTTATGCTGTCACGCCAACTGCTGCTGCTGCCTATCAAAGCCCAACGTCCACGCAAGGATCCCTTGCACCTTCGACTTTCAGTGGAGCACCATATTCCGCTCCTTCCCATCCCGTTGCTGCGAATGCGTATGCCCCGGCTCCACCGCCACCAGCCGCTGCCGTAGCAACTGGCGATTTGTTCGCTCCTCCCCCTGTGGATCCATTTGCCCCCAATCCGCAATCTTCGGGTGGATACTTCGTGCCGGGCCAACCTGTACCACCCCTCGACGACCCTTTTGCCCCTAGACCACCGCCCCCACCAACTCGTGATGATATCACGAATTCTGTAGGTACCCAACCCCTGCATTGTAGTCGCCTTTTCTCTGCTGGAATCTCATCATTTTCGTTGTCTACTCAGATCTTGAGCGCTTACGCTGCTCCAACAACACCAACAGCACCAGGAGGTGTTCCACAGGCTGGACCACCACAACCTGGTCAGCCCATGCCCCCCGTCCATCCAAATGCTGCCCGCATAGGATACGGCGGGCATATGCCGCCACAAGAGGAGAAACCTCAATCGGAGATGGAAAAGGCTCTCAAGAAGCTCGTAAACGTGGATCGGATTGATGAACCGGCAGAGCAAGAGTACCAATTGACAATGAAAGTGAAGGAAGAAGAGAGAAAAACGAAGGATGGAAAGAGTAGAGGAAGACCACCTGCAGCAACTGGTTTGGTTGGATCCAACGCAACACTAGACCATATTAAGCATGTGAAACCGGTACGAGCAGAAATTGTGAAGAAAGTTTGCACTGCTTTCACAAACATATCTAACTGTTTGCCTCTTTCTTAAATAGGAGGTAGCCAAGACCGGGGATGGTGTGATGAAAGCGCCTCCTCAACTCTTCCATCCTGATGCCGTTCATGCTGGAGCCCTGGTCGTTCATGGTCAGGGGCCTCCACCAATCCAAAGAGGTTTTGGCGTTGGGTACGGTGGTGCTCCCCCATCAAATTTCCGTGGGTGGTAGAATTGGATTTGCAGAAGGCGGTCATGTCCAAAGCGAACAGCAGAAGCACCTTAGAAGCTAGTTGTGCGAAGTTGCTATCCGTGGTACACAGTTAGAGATGATGATAGTAGTAGAATTTATTTGCCAGCTAGTAGATTGGACTGGCTAGCTAGCGTACCGGTAGTGTTACAACTTGGAGAATCTATCCTGCGCTTCCCTGCCCTTTTCATCAAGTGGAAGAGGACCCCAACTTGTAGGCATGCGTGTGGTCGAACCATGACTACCTCACGAACTGGCGTGAGACGAAGGACCGCTACGGTAACCTTTGCCGAGGCAGCACACGAACCTCGTCGATGCAAACTTACTTGTTGCCACCGTACCGGTAGCGTACGATGTACCGGTGTGCATGGCCAAGAAAGAAAAGCTAATCCGAGCGACATGACGGTCGGTCGAGTCGAGTGTCAGTCCTTCAGTCCAGTCAATCTTCATTCCTGTCGAATGCAGAGTGGAGAGTGCAGGGGACTGGCGAGGCTCGGACTTTCGGAACATCCAATTCCCAAAGAGCGACGCCGCACTTTGCGAAGCCAGAGGTTGATTGGCGATAAATCTCTTGGAGTACAGTCCTGGACAGTAGAGTCCCTTTTCAGGCGAGTGACGGCACTAAAATTTATCAGATGTGACTCCCTACTTAGACTTTCCTTGCCCTGCTTACTCTTCTTTCATCCTGTCCCAAGCCGAGGCGCCGAGACCCTCGATTGGGAGTGATCCGCTCACTGATTGAAACCTTCCATTGATTTGGTCCTTTTGCTTCCAATGATGGTTATTACCCTCCACTGATTGAATCCATGGGCGGAAGGAGATGCCGGAATACGACAACGACGCTGGATGGTCCTGAATAAATTGAATTGAACTAATATCTGAGACAGAATTTGAAAGAGAGAGCGCGCCATGGACCACCAAGAAAGACCAGATCCTTTGGCGTCAACGGCATCTCCTTCACCCGCAAAGGCGGAAAAAGGACGCAAGAAACAGTCCCCGGCTCAACCATGGAAGAAACCCCCTGGGTTTCCCAAGCGTTATTTGTCAGCTTATAACTTATTCTTCAAGCAAGAGAGGGAGCGGCTGTTGAAGAACAAGCCAGGATCAGAAGGGGGGGAAGGACCTGACGGAGACGATGCTATTCCAATGAAACCTGAGCTGCCGGATCCCAATGCCCCCAAGGCAAAGGGACCAAGAAAACATGCTAGATCATCTGGTATTGGTTTTGCCAACTTGGCAAGGATAGTAGCCAAAAAATGGAAAACCCTTGATCCTGCTTTAAAAGCCCCTTTCGAGGAGGTTGCAAATAGGGACAAAGAGCGATACAAGAAGGAAATGGTCGTGTGGAGAGCTCAGCAAGAAAAAAAGAAACAATCCAAGGAAAACGGGTCACGAGGGGAAAATGGTGGAGATACTAAAGTCAGTGCTATGCAACATGGGGATCCAAAAGCAGATCCATCCCTAGTTCCAGACATATCGCACGCTCAACCCGACGCTGCTCAACATGGCCATGAGTCGTTCCACCCAAGCAGTCCAGGATCGGAAGCACGTCTACCTGGAAGACAATCAATGCCCCCATCCCAACATGACGCACATCTATCAGCCTGGAATAACTATGGTGCACCCCCGACGCATGACAGGAGTCTGTATGCAAGGGAGGCAGATAGGCATCCACCAGGGAGTGCGCGGTACATGGAATATGACCGACCAACGAGTGCCTTTTCTCCAGGGCCAGGAGGTCGCAGGCCAGAGGAAGACTACTATCGCTATGCTTGGTGGGATGGATACGACTACCGCTATGATCATCGGTATGATCGAAACTTCTATGCCCCGCCGTACGCCATGCCTTACCACGCGCAGGGACGCCAAATGCCTGGGATGCACTATCGCGGTCCTGATGCCGGCCGCCCAATGCCAATGAGACATATCCCACCGACAAGCTCCCCTTACCCACAAAATGGCCTAGGTTCTAGCAGTTTTGACGGATACTATCCACAACCACCACCGCCGCCACCTGGTCATCATCCGACAGCGCAACAACACCCCGACAATCTGCCATCGCAACGAAAACACTATGCCCAACCACCAACCTATCCGCCACCTCCAAGCCACGGGAAGAACCGTGGAACTCCACCGCAAGCCTACCATGCTCGGCAACCTAACAGCCCGGATTCCGAAGAGACATGGCAGCGCCCAGCGTCGCGAGATCACTTCGAGCCTCCAGGAAACGAACCAACGTCAGCTGCAAGTGACAGCAAACGGGCTGCAATTGCAGCAGCCCCGAGTGACTCTTCACAACCTCTTGCCCTCAAGCATCAAGATGGATCCGAATTTGAGACTGTGGAAACTAACCTCGACAACGACACAGTGGATTTCTTGACAACACTGGAGCTCGAGTGAATCTTGACTATTATTCTTCCTATGCACGCTACAATTCTTTCATAAAGCGCTACTACGCGCCACTTCAACTCATACCGCACCAACAAAGTATCGCAATTCGCGAGCACATCAATAAACTGAGGATTCGTCCTCGTTCAGTCTATTCATAACCTGCTGAAGCCCCTTCGTGGGAGCTTCATAACCTCGTTCACAACTCATAACTTATCCCATAACGCATAATCATAAATCAATACTAACCCATACCGTAGCTATTTGTATCTGGTTGCATCAAGTCTTACCCGTCAATAAAACGCGGTACTCTACTAGCTAGTAACGTTGGCAGGACCGACAAGCCAGTCCGCTGAACTTCCTTGAAGACTCTACTAACTGGCCAATACACCCGTCCGAGACCAAGCAATACAAGTACAATGCCTTCATGCAACTGCTAATCAAGGGGAGGAATTCTTTTAACTTAAGCAGTGTCAACTCGCTTGACCTCCCTGACACGTGCTTTTCCTCCCTCTTGCGTTCCTTCGCATCTGTTCTTGTTAAAGCTGACTCGACTCGAAAAGTACATGTAGAATCGAATCTCCCAACTATCGAGTCGCAGCTGGCGGGCAACGTTACCGGTGGTGTGCAAGGTCGGTACTGTTCGATCTTTTCAACCGAGAAACCACCCGCAATTCCAAACTTCGACAAAATGGCATTGCTTCCCATTCAATCTTTTGGTGGCCTAAATCGCTGGCGAAGTGGCGCACTCTCTACTTTCGGGGTGAGCAAGATGCCAAAACTGGTTTCATGCATCGAATGTCTTGAGCTAGCTGCTTGTTTCATCGTCTTCTGTTCGATCACTGGCTCCACGACCCGGACCACGTCCATCATTACCTTTTCTCTTTCGTCTGGTTGGTCGAGGGCCAATAGAAGCCAGGATTTTTGCAGCGTCAAACTCGCCATCTTCGTTCGTGTAATCTGCCATGTTAGCATCAATTCCGTCGTCATCTTCCGCCGCACTATCGCTGTCACTGTTGTCTGACAGCCCTGATTCGTCTCGCACGGACTTTTCGTATTTCTGGAAGTCTTCCCATTGGGCTCGAAAGGCCTCCTTCTCCTCCGTCGTCTTCGCTCCAGCCTTCTGGAATTGTGCACGGAGCTTTTGCTCTTCGATTGTTCCCAGACTGTACCCTAAGCGACCCTCTCCCTTGGTCGATGCCGGCTCCTCAGAACCGTCTTCGTCGTCATCTTGAGAGAAAAACGAAGTCTTAGGTGGGGGGGTTGTCGGCTCTGGAAGAGTCCTCTCTTCCTCATAATCGTCGTCGTAAGCATCAGAGAAGGACAAATCCGATGGTGTAATGAACACTTTGCCACTCGACTGCAGCTCTTTTTTGAGATCACTCGCTGAACTAAGCTCATTTTGAATTGCTTCTTCCAATTCTTCCTCGCAAGTTCCGCTGTCATCGAGGCGACAAACCTCCAACTCTTGCTGTAAAGTCAAGAGAGTGTTTTGCATCCTGGCACTACGACTTGGATCTTTGGTTGTCCGTATGAGCTGTTCCAAAGCCACAATAGACTTTTCATTGATTTCCTCTCTAATTTCATCGTGCGACTTGACACGTCCTTCGTTCTGAATGGCAGCCAGTCTTTCTGCCTCCTTCTTAGCCTGGTCCCTTTCTGCCTCCTGCCACGCAAACGGCAACTTGGGTCCTCTCGCCAATCCCGCCTCCTTGCGCATAGCTTCTTCCTTGGCAATATAGTCTTTCCAGGATTGATACTTGTCCGTAATTTCTTCCTGGGCTTCCTTTAGAATACCCGCCTTGGAAGAAAAAGACTGCCACATCTGCCACTCCTTCATTGTTTCTGGTCCATTGGCAGCTTTATCTTCCTCCTCTTCAAGGCGTGACTGGAGCTCTTTTTGCAGTTTATCCAAAGACCACTCGTCGTTGCCACCAGCTTTTGGGACGGCGTCAAACTCGTACTGCTTGTACTCTTGGACCCTTGATGGTCCAGATTTTTTCCTAACAACGCTGCGCCTCTTGGCTGACAAGTCTGCGACCACTTCATTTTGCGGATCGTCAATACCCAGGCTTGCTTTTTTCTTTGTCTCAATTTCCATTTTCATTTCTTCCATGAGAACACCGCGCAGCATTTCCTCGGCGTTACTTGGGACTCCACGAGGATCGTGCAATCTTTGGTCTGCTAGTTCCGCCGCCATTTGATCGTATATCCTTTGGTAGTAACTCTCAATTTCTTTCTTCTCCTCTTCAAACCAAGATTCGTCGTCTACTGGGTTTTTGCTCCCAATGTTGTTGCTATTGTTGCTGTTTCCACTCAGGATATCCTGCATCGATGGACTTCCAAGGAACAAGCGATCAAAATCCGTCTTGAGACGATCTCGTTTTCGCTTGCCTTTGGTTTCCTCACTGACAGGTTTGTTTTGAACTGCCTCATCGTCTTCTTCGGTCTTGTCGAGTCCGCGCCAAAAGTAGTGGACAAAGCGTTCGTTCCTTCTGCTGTAGATTGTGGCCCTAGTGCTGGTCTGTTGCACCGGAATCGTGAAAGCGGCACATTGAGTCGCTGCACCTACTAGAAGAAGGATCAACGAAAAGCTCCGCAGTCGAGGACACAACAGAGACGCCATTGTTTCACAAACAAATTCTGGTTGAAGTGGGGGTTGCATATATATTATTTTCTGTGCGGTATCGAAACAATGGACCTGATCACTCCGCTCTTCTCACTGCTGACTGTTTCCCTTTCGAGTGGGAAGAATTAAAAAGATGAAGAAAATCAGCTGTTCGTTCTTTTTGCATTCATATGCCCCCTGGGTCGTCTCCGTTTCCAGTACCGTACAGTCTGCTCTTGATTATACTGTAATTGTTACCCGTGCTTGCATTGCTGACTTTAACAATTATTATCAAGAAGCAATTAATAGGCATATGGGACTCCGTCAGTCCATAACCCTTTTCAAGGGAATTACTAGGGATAAATTCAAGGATTTAATGAAAAGACCAGGAGATTTAACACTTTTCGCGAATCACTAGCCACTCATGACTGGAAGGGTTCTGGTTAAAATTAGCAATTATTATCAAGAAACAATTATTACATTAACAATTAATAGCGAGAGTAGACTGTACTATTTTAACACGGGATTCGTGTAGCCACCCGACCCAAATTTAACCCTATCCACCGACAGACCACTTTTCGCGTTACCAACCGCCATGGGGCAAGCCAAAAGAAGACTTCCGTTCGCTTCCACTACTATTGAAACCTCCGATAGCATGTTACAATGGCGTCCAAAGCGTATCTGATGGTCTCAAAGCAAGGGTAGAAGTAGAGAGCTCCCAAGGTCTGAAAGGTGCCTTTGGCTGCAGTTGAACAACTGCTGTTGCCGCTGTTATCTCGCCGCTCCACGATGAGAGATGTCTCTTGTTAACTCGGTTGTTGAAAGAACGACGACAACCCTGCCGATGGCTGCTCATGGAGTCGGCTGTTGGCTGTCGACTCTGAGGTTGCGGCTGGAGCATTGTCTTACCAACAGGACAAAACAACGGCGAAGGGACCGTTGAAGCAACGGCTTTTCGAGTTTTCGAGCAAACGAAGCAGAAATTATTCGACCATGAGTATCAGCATCCCACCGTTACGGCTACTACCGGTACCCATTCCAGGGTGTGTGTTTCTTTGGTTCATTGGAGGAAGCGACAACGATGCCTGTTATCTCGTGAGCAACAACATGGAAGAGTTGCCGCAGTAAACAAAACAGATCGACCGACCGCAGGATCAGGATTTTGCCTGCTGCTGCAGATCGCGACATCAACGACGCAACAGAAGAAAGCAACAACAGCAGTGCGTGCACGCTCTTTTGGATGCAAGGAACTCCGCTACTTGGTACTACAGGAAGCTACTAGCTAGCTAGACACAGCGAACCGCGGTCTCCTACCGGTATGATGTTTCAAAAGCCTGTCAGGTACCTCCTACCGGAACGGTACATGTACACGAGGTTCCATGTAGCTGTGCCTACCGTATCTTCCACCCACCACAAGTGTCCAAGGCGCTTCCAGAGGCTTTCTCGTGGCTCCTTCGAGCTCTCACAAGACCATCCGTAGTGGCAAAGAAGCCATGAAGCACGGGTAAAAGCTTGAAAAGCTTGCTATCTAGATGGCTCCCACACACCACAACTCAGATTTTCAGGTGAACCTATGATGGGGATCCTCATTCTAATATAGTTACTGAAGGATGGTGTAGTCCATTTGGTTTGCCCCGCAGTTGTTGTTGTTGCCATTGGTGCTCTTTCGGTGCTGTGGTGGAGTTTTGGTGGGGGTAGTCACACGAAGCTCGTGTTAAGAGCATTTTCTACCGCTCGTTTTGATCTGCAGGATCTAATTCTGTTTTGATTTTTGCCCAGCACCAAGTCATTCTCTATCGTTCTGGTTTGTTTTTGGTTCAAATTCTGGTTCAATTGACTCACTGGACTCAATCTGTACCTGTTCTCATGGACAATTTTTCCTAAATCTTCACTGGTTAATGGGGTCATGACAAAATCAAAACAGAGAGCAATTTTTCGTTTTGATTGGCTTGATCTAAACAAAATTTTGTTTTCGTTTAAATTTGGTCCAAAAGGAATCTAAACAGCATTTCTACAACAGTGATAGAAACAAGATATGATCAAATTTGGTTTAGATTGTGTTCAAATGACCCAATCTAAACGAAATCTGATGGTACGGTAGAAGATGCTCTAACCCCTTTACTAATACGGTACAGGAAAGCGTACACATCGGTTCAAGCGCCGTTTAGGGTCTGGCCGTCGCTACACTTGGTTTTTCTTCAAATTGCGCCATTATTGTGGGTAAATGACAAATATTTGACTAATTTGACACAAATTTGCTCAAATTAATGCAGCCCTACCACGGCCAGACCTTAAGGTGGTCGAACCCAGGATGTAAGCCAGCTGTAGACTGCTAATAATACTGACGTATGTTTTGACATATCTTTTGTATAAATTACGGAATTTGGAATCTCGAACGATTCGAATTTTCACTGGATAGGTTCTTGTATCCAAATTCGCGCTAATTCTACGTTCACCGCCAAATTTTGTAGATCGTGCACCTCCGACCTTATTGCATTATATCTTCAAGTCTTCTGCGCGCACGGTAAGTCAGCATAATGAAGTGTGCATTGGAGACTTGATTTTGCTCGCAAAATCTTCAAACGCTCGTGACATTATTTTTGAGACTGATACCAATACGTAGAGTATTGTGCCGCTCTATCTAGCTCGAGAAACGAAGCGATGGAGTCAACTCCCACACCACGCACCAAATGGAAGCCATCGGCTAGCAGTGAAATAGCAAAGCTTAGTGCCAGTGGTACTGGTTGGAATAAGCTGGCTGGAGTAAACGAATGTGTTTCTAGCACTGGAAGGACGACTCGAAATGCCAACAGGCAGTGGTACCAACAAACATGGGAAGAAACTCCTGCTTCGGGAAGACATTGTGGCAGACGAGGTTGCAACCAAAGGAGCAACTACAGCCGAAGAAGAAGAGGCTACCACCGCAGAAGAAGACGACAATGAACTCACTGTTACGGAATTCAATACCAAAGCCAGCAGTCGCCTGCTGTTGGAGACGAGCCAAGTCGAAAAGCTGGTTGCCGATTTCGCCAAATGCCCTCATTGCGATTGTGATGACAAGCCCATGCCGTTGATTATGACCGTCCACAACTGTGGCATTGTGTCGCAAATTCGATTGAGATGTGCCAACGAAGAATGCAAGTATGTCTACGAATTACCCATTCCCGCAAAGACAACAATGCATGCTGACGACAAGAAATATGAGAGGAGCACTGATTACGAGCTCAATCTATTATTCGTTCTTGGCAATCTTGGGAATGGTGACGGTGGAGTGGAAGCCGGCAAGCTCCTTGGATTGATGGGGCTACCGAATGATACAACGATGGCGGGCAAAAGCAATGTTTCCCACGATAGAGCGAAGAATTGGCCCCATATTGCGGGAATTGAGGGACGAAATCCTGATGGAAAATCTGGACGAGGAAGTCAGACGATCAACCACGGAAGAACATTATTTGGTGTGGAAGATGTCAATCCCAGAGCAGCATAAGGACCATCCCGTCAAGATCAAATTGAAGGGATCATACAATGGCGCTTGGCAGCAGAAAGGATCCGGCCTTCTCTACAATTCATCGTCTGGCCACGGTAGTTTGGTTGGTGCCATGACCCGAAAGGTTGTTGCGTTCGGTCAAAAGAGCAAGAAATACGGCACATGCGAACGGCATGAAAAGGATCACCCTGACGCCGATACCCGTCCTGATTATCCGGAGCACTATTGTTCCCGCAACCATGATCCAAACGATTCTTCAGGTGCCATGGAAGCGGCTTTGGCCTTGGAAATCGTGATTGATCTATACGACAACAAAGGCATTATTCTGGAGCTCCTTTGCTATGACGATGACTCGTCCATTCGGGCTGATTTGAAGTGGTCGAACAAAGACTATCTAATCAACGATAACACTACCGTTCTACCGCAGGTTCCAAAGACGAAAGGAAAGAATAAGGGTGAATTGCAAGATCGTCCAGACAAAGGGAAACTACCTGGCCATATTCCCGAGCCAAAGTTTTGTGCCGATCCCAACCACCGCCGCAAACAGTTGACCGGGGAACTCATTCGTTTGGATTTGGCCAAACTCGCAGACAAGAAGACAATGACCAGGCTGGATTCCATTCGTCTTGGCAAGAACTACGGCTACATGGCCCGCACACTCAAAGACAGGGATGAATCCGAATTTGTTGACGTTGCTTGGGCCTGTTTGGAGCACCATTTCGATTCGCACGACAAATGCGGTGATTGGTGCGCTCACTGCAAGGCAACCGAAACTGAGCTACTTGCTAGCAAAAAATACTACCGCGACAAGAAAGTGCGGAACTGTACGAGCTGCTAAAGGCTACTGTGAACTTGAGCGACTGAGAGAGATTGCCCACGGCTTGGACACGAATGCAAACGAGTCATTCAACAGTGTCTGTACCTGGTTTGCACCGAAGAACAAAGTCTTTTCCGGATCCTGTTCGCTAGCCAATCGTCTTGCCTTGGCCATCGGCATCATCTCACTTGGATATATGGAGTTTTTCAGCCGTCTAGTTGTCAAGCTCGGCATTGACATGACTCCGCACGTCCAGCATTACCTGACGTTCCGACAGGATGCTAGGCAGAAACGATTGGACCGGCTGAAGACTCCAGAGTACAAGAAATACCGGGCGGAAAAGAAGAAAGAGAGGATCCGTATTGAAACGATTGCCACGAAGAAGGCATGGGCGAAACGACACAAATGCTACCGCCCGGGCATGAACTTGGATCTTCCGCAAGAGCAGCTTCCTGCTGAGGCGGCACCGATCGATGCCGAGAATGCCGCAAAACGGCCTGCAAAGAAGAGGAAAACGACAAAGACGACAACTAGTAAAGGCAAGTTTTGCCCGTTCTGCGGTAAGAAGGGGCATGTTTCGACCAAATCCAAAAGGTGCGGCAAGACAGGCGATTCCAAGGCTGGGTTGCTTTTCGATAGGTTGACTGGGAAGCTACTATCAGAGCTGGCTGCCAGCATTCCAATTGCAGCTTCTATTCCAGGTGCTAGTGCTTC